TGACACATGCAGGACGGCGGGCTGCCTTGGTAATATCTGAAAGACAGCCTAGAAGTCACTCTGTTTAGCTTTGGCAGGCATTGAAAGGTGGTGTGGAAGTGGGTGCTGCCAGTATGATGTCTCAACAGTGAGAAAGAGGAAGGCTGGACAAAGAACTGAGAGGGCTCAAGTAAAAGGCAAGGAGGGGGTGAGAAGGAAGAAGATATGTTTGAAAAGGTAGGCTAGGGTCAAATTTGGAGTCTGAAGAACATGTGAAAATACTGGCGGGATTTTAGCTGCAGGTGCCATTCCAATGACCTTTGATGGGGGTGGCCCTTCCTCCCATATGGAGACTAGATTTGAGAGAAGCAATTGGAGGCAGGGGGAGCAGCAAGCAGGTTGTTACGTTCATCCAGATAAGAGGTAATTGTAATCAAACTACCACTAAAACAAAATACCTGAGATAATTATATAGAGAAAAGGGTTGTTTTGACTCACAGATTTAGAGGTTCCAGTCCATGACTATTTGGGCCTGTCATGAGGCAACATATGATAGCAGGAGCACATGATAGAGCAAAACCTCTCACTGCATGGCCAGGAAGCAAAAAAGAGTGAGGAGTGTGCCAGAGGGACCCCATAATCCCATTCATAAGCCTGCCCCCAGTGTCCTAAAGATTCCCACTAGGCCCCACCTCTTAAAGTTTCCACCACCTCCCAGTAGTCCCGACAGAGCCACCCTGTGGACCAAGCTGAACCTTTGAGGCAGGTTTGAGATCCAACCTGTAACAACAGTGGAGACTGCAGTAAAGCATCAGAACCCTGATGATTCTTGGTGACAGGTTAGAAACTGGAAGAACTGGAGGTGAGGAAGGTGACATGGACAACTGGTTTTGGCCAGCTGGCTGAATGAAGAATTGTATAAGTCACTGGGATAGGGACACAGGACCAGGTGTGGGGATTGAAGTCTAAGGATGCTGTTTTCAATTTCAGATGGCATTGGCTTGAAATGCCTACCAAGTGTCATAGGTGTCATAGGGCAGCTAGATCTTTAGCTCTGAACTCAGGAGAGAAGGTTGGACTGAAGATAAAAATTTGAAAATTATCAGTGAAATGATGATGATTGAAAACATGAAATTATGTAAGTTTGCCTGCAGGGAGTAGTAGAGTAAGAACAAAATTCAATTCATTAAGGAGAAAGCTGAGCAATAGAAATCTTTGAAGGAAATGCGAGCATGGCCATGAACGAAGCGGTGAAACCAGGAGAAGGAAGTCTCTAGAGCCACAGAGAGTCATGTTAGAGGGCCTAGAAGCATCCACTAGCTTTAGGAATCAGGAGGTCACTGCTCTCCTTTGTGCAGTTTGAGAAAGGTCAAAGGATGGGTGGGAAGCAAGGTGAGAGAGAGTGTGGCCAAGTTCCCCCTGTGTCTCAGTTCCCTTGGCCCCACCTGAGGTGTGTGGGATATTCAGAAGATACTGTTAGCTGCTATGGGCTGCATTTGAATGCAACCGTATTTTTCTTTGGCCAGTGAAATATTCAAAATGTATTTCTACATGTCTGAATACAGTTAAATAGAACCTTTTGCAAGCACTTCAGAATAGACTAAAGATTTCTGTCATAGCTGGTTTTTACCTTGTGAGCTTGCAGTGTGGTCCAGTATTCTTTTGAAACACAATACACATGAATTCTGATGAAGAATAATAACCATTATGAAGAATGCTGCTGTATTTAATACCTCTTACTATGTCTTAACACTTTGCTACTGAATATAATTAAGGATCCAGATGGCAAGAATACTGTGAAAGCAATCTGTGTTTCTAAAGGATTGTGGTTATTGAAACAGATGTCTGTTGTAAGATTTCCCACTGGCGGGTCTGGCATTGTGACGTACTCTTGATTACAAGTACAGTTTCATGTGGAGGGTGGTGTTGACTTGGCCACACCTGCAGTGACCCTGTAGTGATATTATTGAATGTGTGACTGAATGCAGCCATATACAAGCGTGGATGCTCCTTGGGCTCACTGACTCCTTGTGGTCTTATCATTCTGGAAAAACAGGTCCCTTCAAAGAGGATCCTGGATTTGCTTTCACAGTGAGTCCTCTATAGAAATACCCAAAATGACAAGCTTAGGCTTTTAGAGTTTAGCTTTTCCCATTTCTGCCTTTTAAAAATCGTCTTAAGTCCACAAAAGTTTTCCATTTGATGGTTTTTGCACAAACACACTTTCCTAATTGCTTATCTTAAGTGTTTGATTCTTCCAAATTCTTTTTTCTCCCCTCTTTGGTAGTACTGGAGGTTGAACTCAGGGTCTTGTTCTTGGTGGGTAGGCGCTCTTACCACTTGAGCCATTCTGCCAGTCCTGTTTGGGCTGGTTATTTTTTAGATAGGGTCTCACTTTGTACCTGGGTCAGTCTGGACTATGGTCCTCCTATTTCTGCTTCCCCACATAGCTTGGATGCCAGGTGTGCACCACTGTACCCAGTCATTTGTTCAGATGGAGTCTCATGAACTTTGTGCCCAGGCTGGCTTTGAACCGCAATCCTCTTGATCTCCACTTCCCAAATAGCTTGGATGACAAGCTTGAGCCACTGTACCTGACCCAAATTTTTATAGAACTTAATCAGAAATGGATTCAATTGTCCAAATAATAAACAGGAAGACAAGAGACGAAGTCTAGAAATCACAGCGTAGAATCTTCAATAGTCAGAATCTCAGGGTCTCCTAGAACCTATAGAAAACCAAGCCTCTGGCGAAAGGCAGCAGTCTTCACCACACAGCCGAGCAGCAGCAGAGGCAGAGAGAAGTGAGGGCTTAAGCACATCTGGCATTCTTCTGAGCAATGGTATTGTTCAACCCTAAGCCAAAAGCTCAGACATAAAATGGAATGACCATTCTACTCAGCGTGTTTCTCTCTTGCCGTCGCTGTCTTCACCTTTGTGTCCTCTCTCTGAGCTTCTCTTCTGTCATTAAAAAAATCAAATTAAAATTCTTTCTTCCACAAACTACGTGATAAATGGTAGATCAGCAGCTTTGTAATCTGCCTTGATTAGATTGCAGCGTTCTGTCCCAGCTGTGTGATGTACAGAATATTTACAGATCTGTGAATCTGTGTCTACAGAGCTGTCTAGCATTGTGGGTGTGGGACCTCATCCTCAGTAGCTGAAGACCACCTGCTGCATCTGTGCCACTCAGCTGATCCCACAGGACAGCCGTCTCCAAGCTGAGAGAGGCATTGATATGCGAGGCTTCCATGCACATCTTCTATGTTCTATCTAGAAGCCCTCTGTTCTCTGTCCCAAAGAACAAAGACCTGGAAGCTGGGAACTTCCAGCTCTGGTGCTGCCTGTGACATGTGTTGTGGACAGGACACTGTCAGTTCGGCACTGTGTGTGTGAAACGGTTCAGTAAGACGAGCTCTTGGGTCCGCTGATACAGGTGTCTCAGGTTCCTCTGTTCCTGGCCTCCCCAACCTTCTGTTTCTTCTTTGTGTGCCAAGGACTGGGTGCCATGTGTTTAGACTCATATTCATTCTGCATGAGGCAATGCTACAGTTTTTAAGGACTGGTTTATATTCATAGTTCAGCACCAATCCCATCATTTATGGAGAAGACTTTTAAAGATAAACGGACTCTTAACAGGAATACGTGCAACTAGCCATTAAAGGTATTCAAAAGCTGTTCGGGTCCAGGCAAGATGGCTCACATGTGTAATCCTAGTTACTCAAGAGGTAAAGATTGAATGGATCAAGGTTCAAGGCCAATCCAGGCAAAAAAAATCTTTGAGTACACCATCTCAACTAATAAAATCCATGCATGGTGGTGTGCACCTGTCATACCCACTATGCAAGGAAGTGTAACTAGGAGGATCACAGTCCAGGCTGGTCTGGGCATACATGTGAGACCCTATTCAAAAAAATTAACAAAAGGAAGAAGGGCTGGGAGTATGGCCCAAGTGGTAGAGCATCTGTGTAGCAAGCATAAGACCCTGAGCTCAAACCCTAGTGCTGCAAAAAAAAACCTATTTAATATCGTTACACATTAAAGATAAGAAAGTTAAAATTTCATTGGAATCCAACTATACACCCACTAAAATTCATAATTCAATGCTATCCTATTGGCTAGGCTATAGCAGCTGTACCATATTATACATCGCTGCTGAAATGTACAGTGGTAAAATTGCTCTGTATATCTTCTAAAGCTAAATAAACACTGCCACCCAGCAGTCAGCTTGTGTCTAAGAGGAATGATTCCATATGCCCACCTGAATGTGTGCACAAGAGCTGTCTGAGAGGTGTTATTCATAATAGCCCCAAACAAGAAACAACCCAAGTGTCTATCAGCAGAAAAACAGATAGACAAATAGTGGTATGTTTATGAAATGACATTTTACACAGCAAGAAAAAAGAATAAACTGCTACACATTATAGCATAGGTCAATCTCACAGCATCGTGGTCACATGCAAAAGAATGCCTATGATGTGGTTCTGTCAATGTGGAGTTTATTAGCATGTAAAGCTAGTCTAAAGTGACAGACATTAGCATAGTGATTACTTCTGGTGTGAGGGGCATTGGCAGGGAAGGGCATAGGTGATACACAAATCCTTTCACTGGGCTGCTCACATAGCAGCTTTATTTTGTGTGTGTAAATTATGCCCTGATAAAGAAGAAAAGTGAATTAAAATAACTTCCCACAAACCTCTGTGTAGACACACCCAGGTAAATTCATCTGTTCACTTGCTCAATATACTTGATGTTTTAGGTCAAGGGACTTGTGAGGCAATGGGAGCATGGGAAGCCAGAGGCAAATAGTATTCCAAATTACATTTGCTGTAACATTTCTCTTGGGTTGACACGAGACCAAGAGAATGCTGCCTCTTTGTGAAGCGCAGCAATTCACTTTTTGTAATAATCAGCTAGAACACCTTTCCCCTAAGCTAGGCCCTGGTCCACAGGGTATTCCCAAGGGAAAGTGTAACTTTGAGATAGAATGTAATAGATGGTCTGATGGACTTCTATCCCCAGGAGTAGCTGCTAGAGAGACAGCACAAGCTCTGAAGACTCTGGCCCAGGCTGCCCGTGGAGTGGCCGCATCTACAAGCGATCCAGCAGCTGCTCATGCCATGCTAGATTCTGCTCGAGATGTAATGGAGGGCTCTGCCATGCTCATCCAAGAAGCCAAGCAGGCCCTAATTGCACCTGGAGATGCAGAGCGTCAACAAAGATTAGCTCAGGTGAGCCTCAGAGTCAGAATTGCCCAGTGACCTGCCATGGAGGCAAGCCGTCTCCTGGGCACATTTTGCTGGTGCGGATGCTTTTTGATTCAGCAGGTGTTTTGAGAAGTTACAAAAACTGCAACAATGCTGGCCATACATGATACTCAAATGTCTAGTATTCCCCATATTAATGTGAGATCTGCTTAATGAATAGTGAAGGGGGAGAGAAGGTAGCTTTGAATTCAGTCCTTGGAGGTTTAGGACTTCAGGCATAACATGCTTGTGTGGGGCCTGTTCCTGGCCTAGGAGGTGAGGTGGACATCCAAGACCCAGACACTTGGAAGCTTTTACCTCTGATTCACTGTTTCCTCTTCAGAACATTCTTCAAATGCCTGATGAAACCAGTTGGCCAGAGACCATCCAGACAAAGTTCTGGACATGGGGCTGGCTTCCTTTTACTTTCAGTTAAAGGGAGTGACATACCCATCTCTGAAAACCTAACTTCCCCTTGAGGATACCAAAGGGTAAAACACAGCCATTTCAGTATTCTCAGTGGGCAGCATGTTGGCAGCACCAAGTTGGTCTAAAGGAACATCCTGCTTGCCCATGTGCAGAGTGAGGTGTGGGGCTGGTGGCACCAGCAGAAATCAACCTCAGACCTAGTATCTGTTATCCAAAGAACTCAAGTCCTGGTTCCATCTCAGTGACCTTGACAGGACTCTCAAGGGCAATCTTTCCATTTTGCTCGATAGACGTTACCTGTGTTTCAGGACCTGACTTCATACTGGACAGTTTATGTTTGAGTCACAGAGCTGTGGCTCAGCCTGACATTGGGAAACAGATGGGTTGTGCTGTTCCCAGAATACTGACCCCAGTGTGAGGGTGGAATCTAACTTCTGGAGGAGACCTGGACTAAGTGACTTAGTTTAGTGAACAGTGTCAGGTGTCTGTGGGTGGCTAATTTCCATGCTTGTGTCAGCTCATTCCCAACAAATGTATGAAACTATTTGTACTGAAAGCTGCTTTCTTGTCGGGGTGTCCCTCCTTCCATGTTTCAGGTGGCCAAAGCTGTCTCTCACTCCTTGAATAACTGTGTGAATTGTCTTCCTGGTCAGAAGGATGTGGACGTGGCTTTGAAGAGCATCGGGGAGTCCAGCAAGAAGCTGCTAGTGGACTCGGTGAGAGGATCTTGACTGGGAAGAGGCACCAGGGAGTCAATGGGTCTTCTTCCCCACAGGGAAGGGGAGCAGCTCACCTTTCCCTTAGAAATTCTATATTTTCTGCTACTTTGTCTTTCCCTTGTTTTACTTTCTGACCAACAAAGTTTCCAAGGCAGAGCTTTTTAAGTTTGCTTTCTGTTGGAGCCCATGTTGTTATTGGCTCCTGGGTCATCCCAGTGAGACAGAAAAAGGGTATGGGATCATCTCGCTTCTTATCAGGGCAAGCCAGAAAGTGACTATCCGGTGACAAAGGGGTACATGTGTCCAAGACTCATTGGGAGAGCAGGTAGTCTGAGGACTTTCACCTTGGGGCCTGGTCCCACCTTTGGTTTGAGTCTCCTAAAAGTAGATTTGTGCTCGGTTGTCTGACTCCTCTCTACATGGTGTGTATAGGCTGTGTATGTGAGAGCCTAACAGTCTAGATTAGTTCTCTGTCACTTTCCACTAATGGCTATGGTTCCCACTTATGGTCTGCAAATAACACTGTATTCTGTTTTTTAAAAAGTAATTAACAGAGTGAAAAAAAATTGGTGGCTGTTAGTTAGAAGAACATGACTTGAAGTTGGACAGCATTAGCCTTTTAGTTCTAAAGACTAAAACCTCGACAGTTTCCACTTGAGAGAGACAAAATAGGGTAATGGTCCAGAGAAAACAGATCCTGGAGTCAGGTGCCTGGGCATGAATCCTGCCTCAACCCTGTAAGTAAGTGTGAACACCTGAGGATAGCCACTCTTATTCTTTTCACATCCATGGTTTGGCTCTACTAAGTGAGTATTCTATAAACGTTGAGTGAATAAGTGAATGTAGATGTGTTAAAGATCAAGCTTAACATGAGCTTAGACCACACAGAGTCTTTTAGTCTTTATGACTCAGAAATGCATCCCTGGGCTATCTTTCTTCCCTCCACAATGCCTTCCTTTATCCCTCTAGTACAAGGTAAGACTTCCATGGGATGTGCCTTCTGTCCCCATAGCTACCTCCGAGCACAAAGCCTTTCCAGGAAGCCCAGAGTGAACTGAACCAGGCAGCAGCTGATCTGAACCAGTCTGCTGGGGAAGTCGTCCACGCCACCCGGGGCCAGAGTGGAGAGCTGGCTGCAGCCTCTGGAAAGTTCAGTGATGATTTCGACGAGTTCCTCGATGCTGGCATTGAGATGGCCGGCCAGGCACAGGTGGGTATGGAGGTGACTGTCTGGAGCTGACCTGAACCTCTCCACTCTGATGGGCTGCCTACCTTTGAGTCTGATTGCATGAATGGGAGTAGGGAACCTGCAAACAGGCCCCAGTACATTCTTTTTGCTGCTTAGAAAGCTCCATGACCTCACAGGACTGGCATGCCCAAAGATGCTATCGGCTTGTGTGTGGAGTGCCCCTAGGGATGAGGGGTAGCTTTTCCCACGGTCCTCCAGCAGAATCTACCCTCTTAATATGCCATTCGGGATGGGGAGAAGGTAGGAGAAAGGAGAGTGTGTAGCAGAGTGAACTGAATTGAATGAAGTGAATTGAATGAAGAGAGCTCATTCAATGTGGAGTAATGTAGATAAAAATATAAGCATTTGAGGTTCAGTGGGCTCATTTGAATGGACTGTGTCTAATACTGGGTGTCAAACAATTAAAAATTACCTCCTCAGATGAACAGATAAGCCCCTTGTTTAGAATGAGGGAGCATGACTGGTCTGGCATCAACTTGCAGGGCTGTTTTTCCCAAGTTCCTGTAAACTCACTAAAAGAGAGATCCAGGTGTTTCTTGCCCTGCTACCTGCAAAGGGTGATTTCTCAGATGACAAACCAAATGTGAAACGTGTTCTTCGTCTAGTTCAGGATGCTGTCAGCTCTGAATTTTGAGACAATGCTGGTCGTTTGTGCCAGGCTGAGATGGACAAGACACTTGACAACTCCAGCATTGTTGAGCAAGATGCTAGAATTGTTGCCTGGTCTGTGCATTTGTGCTGCTCGCTCACTGGCTCACTGGCTGTTCTCCTCCCCCTCCTTTAATGCCTCACTTATGAGAAAGCAGAGGTTCCGGGTCACTTGGACATGAATTTCTTTCCCTGCTGTAGGCATCTTGCTCTGAGCATCTGTTTGGAGAAGAGTAGACACTAGTTAGTGTCTCAGTGAGTTCAGCATGTACAAGCTGATTGGCTAAATGAGATCTCTGCTGATAACTTGCCTCCACTTCCGGATGCTGCTCCTAGCTTTCTGAATGCTTCCAGGAGCAATGGGAAGTCTAGAATGACTGGCTCCTTTTGATCTTCCAGACGAAAGAAGACCAGATTCAAGTGATAGGGAACCTCAAGAACATCTCAATGGCATCCAGCAAGCTGCTATTAGCCGCCAAGTCACTCTCTGTAGATCCTGGTGCTCCCAATGCAAAGAATCTTCTGGCTGCAGCTGCAAGGTAAGAATGGGACAAAATAGACCTTCATATGTGCTTAAACAATGTTACTGCGGTTGGAAGGATATGCCCAACATCCTGCCACATTGAATGAACAAGGAATTGGTGCCATCCTTATGTTATTAGAGTCAAGTGTGACGGAAATTCTGGTATTTTATAAAACTGGCTTATTTCCATATTCTTTTCCCCCTCTAGAAGATCCTCCATCTGTCTTTTCCTACAACCTCTTCAATAGGGACTTAATTACACTTAAGGCCTTCATTGACTTGTAAACACAGTGGCTTATTGAGATTTTTTTTAAGTAATGCTAAATCTTTCAAGTTATGGAAGTAATATATGCTTGTTGAAAAAGAAATCAGAAAGTACTGAAAAACAAGAGTGCATTGTTCAGAAGCCATTCAGCAGGCATTAATTAAGCACACACTGTATGCCTGGCATGAATATTGGATTGGATTTTACATGTCCCATCCATCATCGGCAGAAGCACTCTAGTTTAAGATGAAAAGTGTGGCACAGGAAGTAGACTGGTTTTGAACTGATGTAAGTCATGAATCTGAGTTTGGGGTGATGTCAGTGTCCTCCTTTCCTATTACTTGCTCTTCAGGGATGTGAACAGTACAGTTTGTTTCTTGGTCACCACTGTGGCACTCAGTAACTAGTGATTGAATGCTGGTTTGGTGACAACTGTAGTGGCAACCCAGGACAATTGTTTTGTTTTATTTTGTTTTGTTTTTGATACTACTAGGATGTGGACTCAGGGCTAAGCAGGTGCTCTTCCACTTGAGCCATGACCCCAACCCTTTAGCTTTGGTTATTTTTGAGATAGGGTCTTATGTATGTTCCTGTTCCTCCTATTTACAGTTCCCACGTAGCTGGAATGTCAGGAACATACCACTCCATCCAGTTTTTATTGGTTGAGATGGAGTCTCTCAAACTTTTTGCCAGGGCTTACCTTGAACCATGATCCTCCTGATTTTGCCTCATGAGAAGCTAAGATTATAGGCTTGAGCCACCACGTCTGGCTCCAAGATGATTTTATAGGAGCAACCTCACATTCAGTTTCCCAAACCCAGAGGGGGGACATTTAATGGCTCTGTGGTGTTGCAAGCATCTTCTCAGCAGCACTTGCCATTGTATGAGGTGTAGGAAAGCTAACAGTGGGGAGACACTCAGTGAGAAACCATGAGGGAGATGAGAGTAAGTGGAAACCATTTCAAAATGGGCAGATAAGGGATTAGCTTCCATTCTGCTTACTTTTTATTTTTAACTGGTTTTGTTTGTTTGCTCTTTTTGTTGTTGTTTTGCTTTGTTTTTGTTTTATGACTTTAAGTGGTCTCAGTCAGGAGACCTGCATTCTAGTCCAAGCTTTAATCATCGACAGTCATATCGCTCAAGTCCCTCAACCTGTCTACACTTTCCCATCTGCAAAATTGGGGTGTGAGCTCCATCATCTTTAGGCTGTCCAGCTTTCATGGTAGTCACAGTTAAGTTCTGTCTCTTCTCCCCTCTGGGCATACATGCAGTGGGTTTCTTTTTTATTTTTATTATGGAGGGTTAGACAGCTGACAGAGTTCTCTTGTAAACCCTTGAGTTTCTTCATTTAGTCATAGGTAATGCATTTTAGTACCAAATAATAGCTAGAGCCACCAAGACCTGGAAATTATCTTCCCATTTTCCCACCACCATTGTGCTTGCTTTGTGATTATTCCAGTCATCACAGATGGGGTGTTGTCTGTTCTGTTGAGTAGCTATTCCTGGTGTCACCTCCCGACCCTTGGTCTCTTCTTTTTTCCTACAGACTGTGGATAAAACAACTGATGTTTCTAGGTGTCTGAACTCAAATGTTCTTCATTATCTTAAATTTTTTACATCACTTCCAAATTATAATTTCCAACATGGAACGTGTTATTCATTCTCTTAAATTGTGAGAAGAAGGAAAGAATATAAATTGGCCTTTTGAAGCCACACAGACCCTGAAGGATGTTTCTGGATTGTTTCTGGGTATCTGCAGGCCTCTGGGTGGTAGTACTGAGGACAGGACTGGAACCCCAGGTGAAAAAGCCGTCCCTACCTATTGTCCTGGCGTTCAGCCCTGACAGAGAGCAGCCTGAGGGGTTTCCAGCCAAGTAAGCACTTAAAAGCTCCACCAGTGAAGATGATGGTCTGGGATGGGACCAGTGAAGATGCTGGCACATCTTCCATGGTTTCTTGGAACATTCTGGCAACTTCTATTCGTGGGGTGGTTTCCCAAGGGAAACTCCAGTCCTGCCCTGTGGGGTCAGCAAATTTCTCTTGGGGCACAAAGCTCTTCCAGGCAGGGGTCATTCATTCCTTCTTGTTCATTCATGGTTTCAACACAGCTGTGTGTCACAGGCCTGACATGGCCAGCCCCAACACTAGATGCTGGGCACCTGCTGTGAACATGGCATGGATGTGGCCCAGGTAGAGTTAGGGAAGGACACCCAGTGAACCCCATGTTTCATTTAGGCCTTGCATAAAGCATCAGGGACCTGGTTTTGTTGTCCTCGGTCTTCAGTTCCACTGCCCACCCCATTCTTGAGACAGCCAATCCTGCCTTTCCCTCCCTTGCATGTCTGCCTTGCCCCATGCTCCTGCTGTCAGCAATGCTGAGTCCTGACTCTTTGGGGTCTTTGCTCCTTCCTGCTCTGGGAAAAGAGGTTTGCTTGTGGAGAAAATGTAGAGTATGTGTTTTCTCCTTGGCTGCGAATTCTGCCTCTGAGTTTAAGGGTGCTCATGGACCCTTCCCTTGGGGAGTTTTCTGTCTGTATCCAGCTTGGTCATCTTCGTCCTGTGACGAAGCTCTGGCTTTTTGCTGACAAGTTGGGTGATGCTAGATACTCTTTGTCAACTCTTCTCCCTAACAAGGGGATGGTCTCATGCTCCCTGAATTTAGTAAAGGAAATGGAAAACCATCACCAGGCCTGCCAGGCTTTCAGCTACCTTCCTGTCCTCCAGTGGTCTCTCCCTAGGAACTGGCCCACTGTTCCTGCACTGCTGGCTACCATTTGGTTTGACATTCCTTCCAGGCAGGCTTCCTTCTATCTCCAGAGACTATGAAAAAGGACAGCCCAGCATTCAGTGTGAAGGGGAGGAGGGCACTCCACTGTTGTTCTCATCCAGAATGTTCCCCGCCTTTTATCCAAATCAGGATCTCAATCAGCCCTGACTTTCAATCACTTCATTCTTCATCCACAGCTTCCTTCTGTGCAGCATTCCTATCCCAAGGGTGAGGTTAATTTTCTTAAATGCTGCCTATGAGTCCCTGCATTTATCTGGCTTTTCATTCAGCAATCCATCCTGTCCTGTCTCATGTCATGTCTTCTTTGTGTCTTGTCTTTCATTGTCTTGCCTCTCCAACTAGATTACAAACACCTTGTTATCCTAGGGAAATTTAGACTGTATTATTTTTTTAATCTCCATGCCTTGGGAATGATGGGATGCAAGGAATAGTTGTAAGTAGAATCGATGGGCTCTTTCTTCCCTTCCAAATTGCCTCTTCCTTGAGGATAGGAACTGTCTTATGCTGCTGGGCTACACAGCATGACTCTGTTCCTCCCGCCTCCCCCCTAATAAAGAATGCCAGCCAGAGCAGTCAGACTTAAGTTGACTCAATTCAGTATCTCGGGACACTAAATAGTTTTTAGTTTAGAATCCCTTCTTAACTTCTGTGATTACAGATCCCAATTTTTATAATATGCCTAGATAAAGAATAAAATACAGGAAAATGCTAACTATAGATTATGAAATTATGACTATTTTAGCCTTTTGTATTTTTATATAGCTTTGAGCATTTAAAAAAAAATACTGTGGGCTGTTGACACAGCTCAAGTGTAGAGCGCCTGCCTAGCAAGCACGAGGCCCCAAGTTTAAACTCCAGTACTGCCAAAAAAAATTTTTTAATGTGGAAAAAATAAAAGTGACTTTAGATCAGGCCTATTTGGATTCACATAGCACACAGACCCTACTAATTTTGGTGATATTTTATTATAATATAAACTGATTGTTTTGTAATGCTTGAGATTTATTAGAATTTTTCTTTTAAAAATAATCTTATAATCTGTCATTTTTCTATGAATACATGTGGGCTTGTTTATACTGATGGGCTTATGCTGTATTGTACTTAATCATATATCATGACTGTTCTGTTACATTAGTAATATGCTGTACACCATAGATTCTGGTCTATAGTCCACCAAAATCCTGCTGTGGACTGAATGTTTATTTAACAGTCCTTTATTGTTACACATTTCCCTTCCCATCCTTTGCTTCTAAAAATAACTGCTGTAGTTTGAAACATAAAACTATTACTTTTCATTGTCAAGTATGCATAACCATTTGCCTCTGGACCACTTAGCTTATTACATAGTTATGTAATACAGACTCTAGTGAGTAATGGGGATTAATCATACCTAAATAATGCTATTCTGTCATGGGTCAGTTACCCAAGTGACTCAGTTAGACATGCAATGCTGTGCTAACATTTTTCTAGATTAGCCAACAACAAACTGTTAGTCTGTTGGGTTTTTTAATTCCCAAGTTTTTGTTTGAAAATTTCTTACATCTACACAAAAGTTGAAAGAATAGGAAAGCTAGCAGCTTCCCTACAACTGTGTCTCCTCTGGATTCACCAGCTGTCAAGTTGTTAAATGGAAAAATCCTTACATAGAAACTAGGTTTCAAAAAACAGGCAAAGGGCTGGCAAAGTGGCCCAAGATGTAATGTGCCTGCCTAACAAGCATGAGGCCCTGAGTTCAAACTCCAGTACTGCCAAAACAAAAAATAATATCAACAATAAAAAACAGGTAAATAAGAGACACACTTAGAGAGAAATAAACTAGATGGAAAGCTTCTATGCCGTGTGGATCACGTCATGATGGAGGCATCCTCCACCCAGGTTATGTTGACAGGTGCCAGCCTATCTTCTCAGACGTAGGTCTTGGGCCACCCTGCAGGGCATGGTGTTAGACTTTCTGAGGGACACTTCCAATAAATAGATCATGGACTGCACCCTCCAAGGTCATTGGAACTAGGGATTTTCCTGCTATCCCTGTTGTTCTTATCCTGCTTTGGACCATGGAAAACACAGTGCTTCCCAGTGGCATCCTAATTAAGCACTTCCCCCCAAATAAACAATCCATTAGAGTTAACCTTATGAAAACTGTTTTGGCATTCTTTCTTGAGTTCAAGAATGTTTGTCTTCTTCCTTTCACCCTAGCTAAATTTAAAATTGAAAGCAGATTCTCATCAAATAATTAAGCTGATTGCCTTTGTATATTGGCAACATCATTTCCCATCTAATTTGATATTCTGTGGCAAGCTGCAAAACCAATTTAACTAATAAAATGAGGCATCTTTTATATTAGGCAGTGTTAGTGATTAACCACTACATGGGTCCTATTTTGGTTTTGTTTGTTTTAAGTTGCCCTTTAGCTATAGTGGTTAGGAAATGTGAATAGAATTCTGGGCCCTGCTGGAAGTGTAGACCGATTGCGGCCTTGCAGAAAAGGGTTGTGGGTCTGGCTTTGGAGTCAAATAGGCAGGGATGGGTTTAAGACTTGTTTCTAAACCTTATTTGTGCATCCCCTTAGGAAGTTACCTCTAATTTTTCATTTATGAAACAAAGGTGTTCAGTTGTTTTAACCAGCACATATTTGTGCATGTTTAGTAGGTCCAGTGACCATTTGATACAAATATGCAATGCGTAATAATCAAGTGTAGGTAATTAGCATTTCTAGCTCCTCTAAAGGTATCATTTTTATTTAACTTTAAGACTTTTTATAAACCTACAGTAATCAGCAGTGTGGTATTGGTAAAAGATTACACACATAGGTCAATGGAACAGAATAGAGAATTTAGAAGTAAGCCCACACAAATGTGGCCAATTGACTATTAACAAAGTTGCAAAAGCAATTCAGTGGAGAAAGGATAGTCTTTCCAACAAATGGAAAGCTAGAACAACTGGACTTCCATATATACAAAAGTGAAAAACAAAACTTTACCCTTTATTTCACACCTTATAAAAATTAACCAAAAAAGGGCCTTAGCTTTCTAAATTATCCATGTCATAAGTCAGGACTTGTTAGGCAGGGCTGATCATAGAGAGTGGAATCCTTGTTCATATAGAAAAAAATCTGGGCTACCTCTTAAATCCTAAGAATAGAAGCAGATGTAAAATCATACAAGAGGTTCTAATTTATTCCTATTAATGTTAACAATGAAAAGAGAGAGTTTAAAGAATGGATTTAGGGAAGCTGCCAAGAACTATTCATTCATACAAAGTTTACTGGAAAGAATAAAATCATAGGCCCATTTTACTCTATCTACTGTATTAGAGAATGTTCAAAGTATTCCAAAATAGACAAAGGTGACCAAGGCAGCCTTGCTCAGGCAGTCTGATTCCTTGTCAGCTGCTAAGGAAGGGTCTTGAAAACAGTGTTAATATGTCTTTGCAATTTGTAGCTTCATTGCAAATTCTTTCTTATGAATATATTTTTTAGAAAATCCTAAAACACTTACCTTTTTCTGTCCTTGTCCCAGGGCCGTGACAGAGAGTATCAACCAGCTCATCACCCTGTGCACTCAGCAGGCTCCCGGGCAGAAGGAATGTGACAATGCCCTGCGAGAGCTTGAGGTGGGTCCCTGGGAAGGCTGCTGAGGATGGAAGAGTGTGGTGTATGCACAAATCTGTGTCCCTCTTTTTCCCCTGTATGCCCAGTTTTCTCTCCTCTATCCTTGACTTCTGTCTTTCCTAGGAAACTATTGGAGCCAAAGTAGCAATCCAGGTAGGAAGGACGTGAAGACAAGTTAGTTTGGTAGGCTTGTCATCACTGCTTCCACTTTTGCTACTAAGTTAACATTTACTTTGTTAAAGAATCCTTTATTTTGAACAGGAAGAGGCCTGTGGTATTGGAATTAGGCTGCAAATGAGCAATCTTTGCCTAAGAAGTATTGAAGAGATTATTCTAGAACAATTGGGAGAGAAATAGAGGCTGGAATAGGTGTCCCTTTCAGTTAAAAAAAAATTTCTTCATGCATTTTATTCTTTAACATGTGGGGGCCCATAGGAGGATACCAGGGTTAACACCTCTGCACAATCAAGAAGGCTGGGGGGTTTCTAGTAGCCCAGAGCCCAGCTTTTCAAATTACTCTCCATACTCAGGTATTTGTTATTGAAAATCCAAGTGTGCCCTACAGGAAATTAATGTGAGTCAACTCCCTGTATAGCTATCCTTATCTCAACCAGGAACACTTGTTCCTTCCTATTATTGCCTATACTCTTTCTTCAACAAAATTAGAGATAAGGGCAAAATAGTTTATGCTGGGTATTGAGGGGGTGGGGGGGGAGAGGGAGGGGGCGGAGTGGGTTGTAAGGGAGGGGGTGGGGGCAGGGGTAATAAAACAATAAAAGAAAAAAAATCCAAGTGTGCTTACAGAATGTGAGTAAAAAGAAAGTCAGCATGCCTATGTATGTGTAAAGCAGTCCTCTTCAATGCAGGTCCTATGGAAGGGCCCAGTAGCTATCTCAATAGATATCGTTTGATTGTACTCAATGTTCCTTTTGTCTTCTGCATCACTACCATGGGTCTACTAGGGTGGGAATGGCCATGGCATTGAAAGGATATGATTGAGGCCCTGACAGTGTCAGCAGGCCACTGTGCACAGCCAGAAGTGAGAAGGAGACTGAAGCACTCTGAGAAGAGTTGGGATTGTTTCTTCCATGGGCTGAATCACTGCTGACTCTTCTCAGATCACTTTTGCAAGTATACATGACGTGTGGACTGTTGATCCAAATGAACTTGGTTGGCTGAGGTACATTGTGCTTTAACAGTATCCTCAGTTGCCAAAATTATGATGAATTGTTGGTACTGAAGCAGTTTGATTATCCAAAGAGTGAGAAGGTCTTCAATGAAATGAGCTCATTCTTTGTGCTGTCCTCTTTCCCTACCTTTAACTGAACATCTCAGCAGTTCCCATCACCCACCCCACACTTTGTAACTCAAGTGGCGCTATCCTTTTTTATTGACTGTGCACCAGAGGCTGCTGGATGCTAGTGTATATACTCCCAAGGGTAAGGAGGCTGAACAGATATATCCCAAGCTCTTGGCTACTGGAAGAGTCCCTCACAACTGGTGATCCAAGTCATCACACCAAGAAAGCTAGTGATGATTTTCAGGAGTTTGGAGACAGAAAAGCAGGCCCACGCCCATTTCCTTGATGGGGACCCAAGCAAATGTGGACATTTTCTATACTTATAAAATTAAAAACAAATGAACCATCCCAACGGGCAGCCTTAGGGAATTACCTACTTTCGTGCCTTTCCATTAAAAGGTTCCAGAATGAAGTACTGAGGATCCTTTTCAGTCACAAAAAAAAAAAAATGAATGAATGTGTACTGGAAATGAAAACTCCTTAGAGGATGTATCTAGCAGAGAAATTGTGTTAATTGACCATGAATATGTTGCGTTGCATTAACATCCGAATTTCTTAAAAAAAAAAAATTAAAAATCTCCACCTTCTATAGATCCCATGCTTCTCCAAAACTAAAATGAGATTTTCATCTCTGGCAAAGCTAATGTGAGGCCCCCAACCCTGCTTAGTGTTGGGTTGCTAGTAGAGAACCGGAAGTCATGCCTCCATGATCCAAGTAAATGTGCAATGGTGATGTGTATGAGAAGTTGGTGGTTGTCTTTATGTTGAATCTCTCTTCTAAGCCTCTCACTTACTCCGTCAGTTGTGCTCTCCTTTGCAGACTGTCAAGGGGATGTTGGACAATCCTAATGAACCTGTTAGCGACCTCTCTTACTTTGACTGCATTGAAAGTGTGATGGAAAACTCCAAGGTAAGCCTGTCTCCGTGCCATAATCCAGAAGTGAATGCTGCTTTTCAGTGGGGGACATGGAGGTGTGCTGTGTGCATCTGCCTTTGGCAACTGGGTGGCTACATTTGTGGTGAAACCTGTAGTCTTTGCTTGGTGCTTCTCAAACTTTAGGGTGCCCCAGAATTATGTGAATGGCTTGTTAATCACCAGTTGCTGGGCCTCACCCCCAAGGTTCTAAGTCAGCAGAACTGAACTGAGCTTAACATACTGCTTTGTTTTTGTTTTGGGTTTTTTGTTTCTTGTTTTATTGTTTTGTTTTGTTTTTTGAAACAGGGTCTTACAATACAGCCTAGGCCTGGACCTCGCTAGGTAGCAAAGACTGGTCTCAAACTCACAATCCTTCTGCCTCTGCCTCCCAAGTGCTGGGATTATAGATGTGTACTGCTATGCCCAGCTGAGTCTGTATTTATAAGAAGTTCCCAAGTCCTACCCCTCTAATCTGGAAGCCATACCTGAGAACCACTGCTTATATCATATCACAAATGGGTCTCATTATAAATTGAATTGCTTATTTCTACCCCTGGGGCTGAACTGCTTGGAAAGTCCTTCAGTGACTATGAATTATATGAGATCCTCTGTGTGTGTTTATTTTTGCCATCCAACCATGGCATGTATTCTCAGAGGGAGTAAAAATTGTTTTTGTTTTTGTCAGGCCCTCCCCATCTTAACCCTACTCAGCAAAATCTTATTCCTTAGTATTTAATTTGATGGGGGTGGTATTTGGAAAAAAAGTCTAAAAAAGATTCCTTAGTGTAACAATGAAGAAGGGGGGAAAAAAGCTACTGAGAAACCCTGATTTGTGGCAATCATGGGAGCATCTTTTGAGAATACCTATAAAATCAGAAGGTGATAACAAAATGCAAGCAAGGTGCATGGTTGTCAAGCTGTTGCCACCTTCTTTGCTCCTGAGCACAAGTGTGTGTTTTTGCATCATTTCCACCTGAGCATTGAGAAAACATCTATATGGTGACATCAAGAAGGCTCAGTTCATAGTGAGCTAAGATTAGAATTCCCTCTCTCTGGCATCTTTTATGGAATTCCAGATTATGTAATGAGAAGATGCATATGTTTATGTACTCAAGTCCTGAGACACAGTGGCATCTTACAGAGGAGAGCAGGGTTAGCAGGGGGAAATACTGTACATAAAATACTCTCTAATTGCTTTGCTCTGCAGTCCTTATGTAAACAAGATTATTTTGTACATCTCAGCAATTGCAGGGACTTTCTTTCATTTCTCTTTCCAGTATGGCTTATTGACTAATGAATTGCTCTACGTCAGGTTTTAGACTTGGCAACGCCATCGTCCCTCCAAAGTACAGGCCTTTCTGCTCCATCATCTGTGACCCTGGAAAGCTTGACTTGTCCTCCAGGGACATGATGAGGTCCACAGAAAACAGAACACCACATTGGGGTAGATGCCCCACCTCTGCCCATGTAACCTTCTTTGTGACCTTGTCAGGGTATTTGATCTCTCTGGGTTGGATTCTGAATATTAAAATCATTTTCAGCTATTATTTTTAAGCCTAAGAAGAAAATACACCAGTGATTTTCAAAATAAGGCAAACTACTTAAGATATTTAGAAAACATCTTTAACAAAGCTCTATTGAAATTTTATTGTCAGAAAGTAAATGAATTACACCAGGAAAAGTACATCTTCTACTTTCTGAGTAGGACTTCAACTACAGTTCAATGAATGTGACTTTATGTTCTAGGAACTAACAGTTCTCAGATAGGGACATTTACCCATAGGTGGGAGTGGGGGCTTGTATAGATTCTGCTTTATTCTGTGTATATATTGACTGTGTCTCCTTGAGATAAAGACAACATTTGGATGAAAGGTTCATACTTTCATTATTGATTTCTTTTTATGGAACAGAAATGGTATAATTCTCTTGAATCTCTTCTTAATGCAAATGAAGGAGAAGATGGCAAGTATTATAAATTAAGTGGCCTTGATGATAAAGCTGCAAGAGTGGCCTCTTATACTATTGGGTTTGAAGGATTGCTCAACAAAACATCACTGGTTGTTTTTTGTTTGTTTTTGTTGCAGGTTCTGGGCGAGTCAATGGCAGGGATTTCACAGAATGCCAAGACCGGGGACCTCCCTTCCTTTGGGGAATGTGTTGGCATTGCATCCAAGGCTCTCTGTGGGCTGACAGAGGCTGCCGCTCAGGTAAGGGGCTGATCCCTGTGCAGCTCTTCCAGCCTGCGCCCTGTGTCAGATAGTGAGTACTAGGAATGAGCAGATCCTTGTGGGATGAATGTGGAGGCTCTAGCTCCTTCTCCAAGCACTGCCATAGAAACCCTGGGACAGCAATGGCTCCTGGACTCGTGTGACGTCTGGGCAGAACGTAAGTCGTTTCTCTCAGGGTCAAGCGAGGAAGGACAGTAAGACTTGCTGAACCAGCATATAGAATCAGAGGCAACTTTTAAAAAAAATTACTGTTCTAGGTGAGTTATTTTTTGTGGGGATACATAAGCACTAAATAATTCAAATCTAAGGCTTCAGAATTGCAAAATGGTAGTTATGCTCTTTTTAGGGTCAAAGGGGGGAAAAAATTATACATCATAGAGACGTGATACAGTATGCTCCTCACTTTTCTTCACCTGACCTGTGCATTTCCTATCATCACTGTTGGACCCAGATATCAAAAGCTTAAGAGTTGTCAGCACTTACCTTGAAAGTTTTGTCATTAACACTTACTGGAACTTGGAAGAGTTTACTGAACCAAAAAGAAGCATCCCTAGTTTGAAGAATAAAATTCTCTACCCTCATCTTGTCCCCTCAGATCTCGGGGAAGTGAATTAATGTCAACATTCTTTCTCACAAGTTCATTTTTCTCCCTGTTAGTTATTTACCTAACACATTCAAAGAGAATCTGAAGTAATGACTCTCTGAGAGCTCCTTGTCCTCTTGGGGAGCCATGTCACTCTTCTTATTCAATTACCAAAATAAGGTTCTTCCTGCTATTGGAAACGGTGACGTAAACCCTAAGGACATGTTAAGCTATGTGATGGGAAATCCTTTGGTAGGCCAGGCTCCAGGGTTGTCTAACCCAGCAGCTCCACACTATTAATCTGCACCCACTTTTTTTCTCCCTCTCCCATCTGCCAGCCAGAAATTTGCATTAAGGCCAGATATTCTTGGAGTCCTAAGATGGCAGCCAGAAGCAATGAGGGCTGCATCCATCCATGTCCGTGCCCCACAGAAGAGCTCTTGAAGGCTCTCTCTTAAGAACAAGGAGACTTTGTTCCCTGAAGCCTGGAGCAAACTCCTGTTGGCATGGCAAGCTGGCATAGGCCTATCTGTCACCTTCCCCTGATTGGCCAGAAGAGTGAGATTACCCTGACCAGTTTGCACTAGGGAGCACCTGAGCCTGACAGATGCAGGTACACTGTGGACTCGTAGAATCACAGAGCCTGAGATGTACTTTTGTCCTCCTTTCCAGGCTGCATATTTGGTTGGCATCTCCGATCCAAACAGCCAGGCAGGCCACCAAGGCCTGGTGGACCCCATTCAGTTTGCCAGAGCTAACCAGGCGATCCAGATGGCTTGCCAGAACTTGGTGGACCCCGGCAGCAGCCCATCACAGGTAACGGGAGAATGTGGAGGGTGGGGAGACCATGGGAAATCAGTACAGAATCCTGTTCTACAAAGCTTGTAAAGCTAGCCAAATACAGGTCTGTAGATAATGACCGTGCAAAGTGCTAGAAAATGTGAAGGCAGGAATTTACAGGTGCTTAGTGAGAGGGTGCCAGAAGGCAATAGGAGGAACGAATCCCAGGGACATTCATTGGCTTCATTCAAGGCAGAGGACGTTCACTGAGGGCCTGCTCTGTGCTCAACACTAAGGGGTCAGTGTGAATGAGTCCTGATCTTCCACCCACTTGGCTCTTAGTCTTTTGGGCAAAGTTTGGAAATGCATTGATCAGGATATGATGACATCATGAGGGATGCACAAAGAAAGATGTGATGGGTTCTGTCAGGGTGTCACTAGGGGATCACTTCAGAGCTGATGTCACTGTGCAGAACCTCAAAGTCAGGGGCAGAATCTACAACACAGAACAGAGCCAGAAAGACATTTGAGGAATAGACGGTATGTATGACATTCCATGGCGCTTCTACTACCCCCAAGTCCTGCAGGATCCTGCACTTTTAAACACTTATTAAAGTGTTTAAAAGGAGAAGTGTCTGACATGGAATAACAGAGGCAGTCTTGTGAGTACTGGTCCAACCGTGAGCTCTAGAGACAGCATTCTTGAGGCAGGAGAGGGCCCAAGTGAAGAAGGCAACACAGGTATCATCTGACCTACCACAAGCCTGAGAGCTAGTGTGTCAATGCACCTAAGAGTCCTTACCAGTCCAGTTCAGACCATAGGGTGATCAGAAGCCTCTGCTAAGTGGAACCAATGGATTCAAGAGAGCAGATGAGATGGGTGAAGGTAGAGCTTGTGGATAGTCCACAGACCCCTAATCCAGGGCCCACAGCCCCTGAGGATGAGGAGAGAGTGATGTGCCTTGATGTTTGTTTTACCCATCTAGACCTGGGTTCTTCATCCAATATGATGATCACTAGTGATATGTGGCTATTAACCACTTTGTAGCTAGTCCAAATTGTGAAGGGCTGTAAGTATAAATACACACTGACTTTTAAAGACTTGTGAATAAACTTGCACAAAATCTCTTTAGCAGTATTTATAATGTGACACCCTATGATGAAATGAATATTTTGCATATACTGAGTTAAATAAAATATTAATTAATATAATTAATTTTGCTTGTTCCTCTACTTTTAATGTGTCTATTAGAAAATTTTAAATTACGTGTGTCTAGACCTTGGCCTGGAGCCTAGACCACAGTTCTCCTATCTGGGATCTCCAAAGTCCAGTGACCATGCCCCTTTAAGACTGTCTGGGCCCAGCTCACTCCCACCATACTGCAGCAGCACCTCCTTCCCTTTTCTGTTTTCATTCTCTCTTGCTTCATGTTTCTTGTCCTCTCCTTTCTTGGAGTGACTTTGGGGGTGGCAGAACCAGACACATGTTATCGCCTGGGTTCTGGACATGGGTTGAAGAGGAACCCAAGCTCCTGCACTGAAGCATTGGGTGCCCCCAACCTAGCTCCGTACTTTGTAGGTTCTGTCGGCTGCCACGATTGTTGCCAAGCATACCTCGGCCTTGTGCAATGCCTGCCGTATTGCCTCATCCAAGACGGCCAACCCTGTGGCCAAGAGGCACTTTGTCCAGTCAGCCAAGGAGGTTGCCAACAGCACTGCAAACCTAGTGAAAACCATCAAGGTGGGTTACTGCACTTTGAACCTTGCTTGTCCCTATAAAACCTGTGGAGCTGAGAGAGGCTCTGCCCTGTTAAGAGCTATGGGTAGTGAAGTTTAACACTTAAGTCAGTATCTGAGGAAGAGTCCCTTATTAATGGAGATCTCATCAGGAAAACCCTAACAACCTTGGTGTCCACTAGCATCCCAGGTGGTGAGGAGGGGGCCTCTCCAAACTTGGCCTACTGAGCTAGGGACATAAATTGGGTTGGAGGAGTTGGTTATGGGGTCTGTCTTGGCCCTGTGTGGGCAGCAAACAGCCTCTATGTAGTTAAACTCTTTGTTGACTAGGAATGATATTGAGTGGGTGGTAGAAGGCTCAGCCATTATTGCTGGATACATGTGGACCAGGATAGGATGTAAAGGGAAAAAGAAATGGAAAATTGTAGAAAAATCACTTTAATCTCACCTACGTCATCTATTTGTTTACAGTTTAAAAAATTTTTACTGGAGCATCAACTTTTTAAAATAGAGCTCTCCGTATTCCTGAAAGTTCGGTTGTATGGTAAAGCCATGGCTGTGTGGGCAGGGGAGGCAGGACTCACTTGTAAGAAGGGGACTGAAGTTTCAGTTCTAGCCGCACTGTGATCTTTGTAGGTGGGTGAGAAAATTGCATCTTCTGCCCTAAGCTGGGACTATGCAGACAGCAGGCAGCAAGCAGCTGACCTTGTGGGAAGACAGCCAGAACCTGGACAGCACACCACAGTCACAGAGCCCAGCCCCCCTCACCCCGGCCTTCAAAGGAGCATTGTCATGGGAGGCAATGAGTGAACCTGGCCTTTGTGGACCTGAAGAGAAGGACACTGATGTTTCTCTCCCACCCCACCTCGTGCTGGGGGTACAGTCCAGGGCCTCGTGTATGCTGGGCAGGTGCTAGGCCACTGAGCTACACTCTCAGCACAGTACTGATGCTCTTATCTCAGGGTTCTCATAGCCAGTCAGGTAGGAGGGTCTGCTTTGTTGCTGCAAGGAGTCCTGAGCAAATGGGACTTTTCCCAGTGTCCCTCCCAGGGCCCTCCAGAGGACAAGATCCTACAAACCTCATTTTCCTTTCACTACAGGAAAGCCTGTACAATCAATCAACAGGATAAGCCTAGCAGAGGCCAAAGGAGAGAGCGTCCAGCCCAGTGGCAGCTGGAAGCTGGCTGGTGGAGAGCAGGGGCCGTCACCCCAGTCAGCAGTTCTGAAACTGTTTCAACAAAGAGTCTTTAAAAATAAACAAGCCCTTCCTATTTGAGAGAAATAATAAGCTAGGTTGAATAAATCAAAGCAGTGCTCTGGCGCCCCATGATCCTGGTGGCAGCTGGCCTCCATTGTCATCACAGTTCATACTACGCACTAATAAATCTTACGTTTGAAAATGTAAATTGTAAATTTAAATATAAATTTAAAATGTATATTGCTCATTCAATCCACACAACCATGCTATGTTTATCATCTCCATTTTGCTGTTGGGGAACTGAGGCACAGAGAGGCTAAGTAACTGCCTAGGTGAGCCAGCCAGTAGTTGAGTAATAAGGATTCAGACCCAAGCCTCAGAGCCCCTAGCATGATCCTCAGTATTTTGGAATAGAGAGAGAAATTCATCTCCCCAGCCTGGGAAGACAAACCGTGCTATATTTATAGTGTGCTGTTATAACTTTGGGGGAAGTAGGGCTGCAAAGAGGAAGGTAGTTGAAAGTTTGGTTGCGACCTAATTTTTCTCAAGTGAATTTGGTCATTTTCTGATCATTAAAAAACAAATTGTATTAGATGGACCAAGAAAGATGGGGGTAAAAAGAAAAGAAGCTCTTTGTTTTATAGCTATTCTGGGAGCCCTTTCTTTTCTGCTGCCTCCTGATTTAAATCCTGGTCTGTCTCTGTAAAGCACCACTGTTAAGATCTCTGCTTCTTTGCACATTCTGCTCCCAATGTCAAACCCTCTGCAATCCCCACAGCAAATGAGCTCTTGTGATGGCCTGAAAGATAGGCCCATGAGAAACATCAGAGGAGGAGTATGGGGTGATTGTAATGTGGGGAACATAAAGGCCTGTCTCCTGTGAGCACCCAGGGAACTGGCAGCAATGTAAGAGGAACAAAGGGACATATTTCCCTCAACTTGTCGAAATGTGCCTGGGTTTTCAATTCCCACCATGGGGATCAGTGAGCTTTGTTTTAAATTTACTAATAGGAAAATAGCAAAGGTCACTTCACTGTAGCACTCTTGCCTTATACTAAATAGATTTCTTATTCGAAGGAATGGTTAAGGACTCTGTCAAAGAAAAAAAAACAAATGAATTTTCAATTCCCTAACTACTTAAGATAGCTGCCCTTGTAGCTGCATTTTTCTGTTACGCTTTTTAGTGCTTTCTCCTTTCAACTGTGAGGATGTGCCCAGGCATAAACCCCAGCTGCCACACCTTTGTAGGCAAGAAGGGAGAGGAGCCAGCAGGAGAATGAGTAGAATGTGTACATCCAGGGATTTTAGACCTCCTGATGGCATACTTCAAAATCCCAAAGCACAGATCTGCAAGAGCATAATTTTGCATGGTTACTGCTTGCCAGGGATGGCTGTCGATGCTGGCAAGCTAGAAGGAAAGCCCCCCTCCTCCACCCAAGGCTGCCATGTCTCCCCTGGTCACCACGTACACACTTGCCTGCTTTTCTCTCTTCTACTCATTACCTAGCCTTGAATCAGATGCGTGGAATGGAATGTTATTTTAAATGTGCAGTCACTCAGGTTTGGGTGCCAAGTAGAAATTACGCAACACCAGCTTTTGTTTTTCTGAGAAGTTAAAGTTTGGCCTTGCCCCTCACTGAGTTTAAGACTCAGATTTTTGCAATTAGGCATTTCCAGTGTGTACCACAGATATCCGATCCAGCTCTCTTTAATCGAATTTGACTTGGCTGTAAGTATGTTTTCTTGGTCATCCTTATGTTTGGATTGGTAAAGTAGAATTATTCAGAAGAGAAAAGAATCAACTCTGGGCTTCTTACATCTATTGCCTTTGTCTGAGGTTAGTAGAAGAGAAGGAAGCTGGAGTTTTGGGTTGTGGTTTGAACCATGCCAGTGAATTCAGGGTGACGTTGGTAAATCATGTCACTTTCCAGGTCCTGGTTTCATTGGAAATTCGGAGGGTTGATATTAAATGATTTCTAAGTGCCTTTCTAACACTCAAAGGCCATGAATCTATGATTCTTATGCATGCACAGAAATTGTTTCTCCCTGATGCCTGTGAGATTAGGCTGGAATGCTCAGAGTACCTGTCCCAGAAATTGGGAGTACCCTTGTCCCAGTGGATCTAGACATGTGGCCAAGTGGATTTCATCCATATGACTGGTGTAATAGACATTCTGTGACATGAGTGTCTACAAGGAAGCCCTCATATCTGCTTCACATTTCAGCACTGGGCAGACCTGAATGTTCAGTTTGCTTGGGTGGCTCAGCCATGCCCAGTGGAAACAGAATTTGAAAGTGAAGTATCTGTGCAAACCATCCTTTCTGATACCAAATGCCTCCTTTGGAAGAAATAACTTTCTTTTTGAAAACAAGAAATGTAGTTGATGTAACTTGGCATTCTAGTCTATGATCTTCAATGTCCTGTCCTGGGAAAAGCAGTGCACTACATGACATGTGATTGTTTTGGACCTGTGCTAAATAAAAAAATCCTTTGCCATTGGTACTTACCTCAGGTAGTCCTCTTTTCCATTTAAGTTCAACTGAGGCGTGGTGGCTTGGTCAGCTACTTTCCTTCCTTTAGAGATTAAGAGAGCTTGGAAGTCAGGAAAGGAGAGGGACAAGTATAGAGAGGTAGGAGGCAGGAAAGGGTGAACAGTACCAGTGGGGTTCTTGGTACTTCCTGTCTCGCCAGGGCATGATTGGTAGAGATGAGATCCGATCTCCTTGAACTACAAGGTCCATGCTGGCTGGTTGCCTGCTCCACTCGTTTACTTGTGCTGGGACTGTTGTGTCAGGCCCCTGCCAACTAGTGCCCACTCGGTCTCCTACTAGTATTCTCAGATTGCTCTGAAGCCTGGTAGAACCCATCCTTCAGGAGTCAATGGCATCAATAGTACAACAAGATCACAGTACTAAGACAGCAGGGTAAACTCAACATTTAGTAGTATACAAGTGGCAGGCAGAGATGAGGCAGTACAAGTGAGCAAGAAGTAATAGACATTGTAGAATTTCCAGTGGGCCTAGAAGAATGACTGAATCAAAGAGGTTAGCATAAGGTCATTGCCTGTATGATGGGGGAAGGACATGAGCCAAGGCAAGCAGGCTCCATATTAGCGAAGCTGGTGAATTAGTAGGCTCATGGAAATTCCTCTGAAAATATTAGCGTTGGGATGTGTAATTATTATCTCAAGCTGCCAAGACTTGACTGGAATGTGGTTGTTATTCAGAAATAGCCTTCAAACAGGCCATGCCTGCCTCCTCTTGCCTTATTGAAAAACAAACTATTCCCACTCTGTTGCATAATGCCAGTGTCTCTGGTTTTTTGTCCACTAATTGTCTAAATTGGCTTTTATGTATTCCTCATAAGGATTAAATTAAAAGTTTAATTGGTCATTTAACAAAGAAATGTACATTCTTCAAATCTAACTGCCTTCTCCGATGTAGCCATTTGCTGGGAGACTGGTTGCTGCCATTGGGCCACAAGCTGTTGGTTCTAACAGTCTTGTTCTTGAGGAGGTGGAGTCTGGGCTTAGAGAACCTTGAGTCCACTTATGAACCCTTTGTGAGACCGCCTGGCAGGGATCACAGGCCCTGTACCTAGATTCTTATCTGGTCTTGGCATTAATCAGCAATATAGCTGATTACTCAATACTCTTGTGCTCCCTGCTGCTAGTGTTTTTGTTTTTTGTACTGGAGTTTGAACTCAGGGCCTCGTACTTGCAAGGCACATGCTCTACCACTACAGCCATGCCCTCAGCCCTCTGCGGCTAGTTTTTTAAAAGTTTGCATAAAATAGAAGAAAGTGCCTCATGTGTAGATCTCTATGAATCTTCTCAAGTTAAACACACTAGGTGACATTAGTCAGATTAAGAAACAATGTTATCAGTACCCAGAAGCTCCCCCTTGTGCTCCCTCTGTCTCACCTGCTTCAGAGAGTAGCCAGCTTCTAGTTACATCATTAGTTTCACCTAATTATTGTTCACCTGTCATACATAGGCACCCTTTTGTGGGGGGCCTCTTTCATTACATTTATATTGTTTATGAGATTTGTCTGTTTGGTTAGGGTAGGTCTCATCTGTTCCCCTTCCCTTTGGATTCAATTGTGTTCGTTTCAAGATGGTGGTCATCAAAAGACCCAAAATCGTATGTTCTCCCTCATATGTGGACATTAGATCAAGGGCAAACACAGCAAGGGGATTGGACTATGAGTACATGATATAAGCGAGAGCACACAAGGAAGGGGTGAGGATAGGTAAGACACCTAAAAAACTAGCTAGCATTTGTTGCCCTTAACGCAGAGAAACTAAAGCAGATACCTTAAAGCAACTGAGGCCAATAGGAAAAGGGGAACAAGTACTAGAAAAAAGGTTAGATCAAAAAGAATTAACCTAGAAGGTAACACCCAGGCACAGGAAATCAATGTGAGTCAGTGCCCTGTATAGCTATCCTTATCTCAACCAGCAAAAACCCTTGTTCCGTCCTATTATTGCTTATACTCTCTCTACAACAAAATTAGAAATAAGGGCAAAATAGTTTCTGCTGGGTATTGGGGGGGGAGGGGGCTGAGTGGGTGGTAAGGGAGGGGGTGGGGGGAGAAATGAACCAAGCCTTGTATGCACATATGAATAATAAAAGAAAAATGAAAAAAAAAAAAAAAGATGGTGGTCATGCCAGCCCCACCTCCATCAGGTACGCAGGGAGGGACATCCAGATAAAACTGAGAAAAGTCAGAGGTGCCAAACAGTATAAAGGATCTTTATCATTTGACAAGAAATAGACTTAATCTGAGTGGAAATGGAAAAGAAAAGCCCAAGTGTTGTAATCTCAGAAGTGGAGAATAAAGTGGTTTGGTGGCTAGGTATGACAACACAGCGGAGGGAGAGAAGAGCAGGCACAGTTGAGTCCATTTCTGCTTCCTGTGAGTGGGAGTTGACCACAGCAGGCTGCTGTGAGCTGCACGTTTAACTTTTTTTCTTAGCGTTGCTAGCTGTGCTCCTCTGCTTAAGGGGCAGGGGCTCTTACCAATCAGTTTATGAATTCATCAAACATTTCCAGTAGTCTTCTCATTGAACCATCTTGCCCCACTAGGAGATGATTGCTGTGGCTTAGAAATGACTGGTGTTTCTCAGTGGGATGGAATCTCCTTTATTTTTTCCTCCATTAGGCCCTAGATGGGGATTTCTCCGAAGACAACCGCAATAAGTGCCGTATTGCCACTGCACCCTTGATCGAAGCCGTGGAGAACCTGACAGCATTTGCATCTAACCCTGAGTTTGTCAGTATTCCTGCCCAGATCAGCTCTGAGGTAGGGAAGGCTTTGTAGCAAAGGCACCAGTAGGGTTTCTGGCTAATTTTGTATGAACCGAATGAGCATGAATAATTAAAATTCCAAAAAGACTACTTGTCAAATATGTAGGATACTGTTATGGTGGATGATGTTACATGCACAGAGTTATGAAGGCCAATATCCATGTATCTCATGAGAAACAATAGCTTTATATGTTGCAAACAATTTCTGTGCCCAGATTTGGGGCTGATTCTCTTGAGTGTATTGTACTCAAAACTCCTATTTAAGAAGCAGAAGAGTGGTAGAGCGCTTGCCTAGTATGTGTGAGGCCCCGGGTTCAATCAGCACCAAAAGAGAAAAGTTGAAAAAAAAAAAAGAAGAAGAAGCAAAAAAAGCGGACCCAAGTTCCCACCATCTAGACCCTTTGTAAGCCAGTTGCCCTCCAAACAGCATAAGTGATGACTTGACAAAGAATAAGGCTTTCTCTAGCTCAGCATGTTTATTCATGTCTGTGTACCCTGCCCTTGACCCACCTGTTGTTTGGTCTTAGGGCTCCCAGGCACAGGAACCAATCCTGGTATCAGCCAAGACCATGCTGGAGAGCTCGTCCTACCTCATCCGCACGGCATGCTCTCTGGCCATCAACCCCAAAGACCCACCTACCTGGTCCGTGCTGGCTGGACATTCCCACACAGTGTCTGACTCTATTAAGAGTCTCATCACATCTATCAGGTCAGTTTCCCATCTGGAGATTGCTTCCAGCCTGCATCTGAGGACAGCAGGGGGATAAACCCACCAAGCTTCTTACCTGACAGTAATGACGTTGGTTACTATCATCATCTTTATCTCTCTGGGACCAATGTAGTACTAGTCACAACAATAGCAAACTTCAGCACTTACTATACACCAGATATTACTCCAAGTATTTTACCCCTTTTATATAATCACCACAACATTACAAGGTGTATATTGCCATTGTTTCCTTTTTTTTTTTTTTTTAGGTGGGCCTAAGGTTTGAAATCAAAGCTTCGTACTTTCAAAAGCAGGCACTCTACCACTTGAGCCACATCTCCAGTCCATTTTGCTCTGGTTATCTTAGAGATGGGGTCTCACAAACCATTTGCCCATGCTGGCCTCAAGCCACAATTCTGCAGATGTGAGCCACTGTTCATTTTGTTCTTCAGACAGAAGAATTTAGGCGACATTCCCAAAGTAATTTGTAATTCTTCTATACTATATTATATTGTTCATACCTAGGAGTTTAGGCAGAAAGTGCTCCTGTACAGAATTTGATGTTCTCTTTAGTTTGTTAATGAAACAAAAAGTGTATTCTGCTGGCTACAGTTACTTTGGACATCTCTGACTTCCTTGGTGACAGTAAAATCCTGAAAAAACATCTCTTGAATACATAGAATATTTCTGAAGTTGACCAAAGTTGATATCTCACAGCATGAATGCATTTATTTCCTTATATTTTGTTTTCTAGTTGTTTCTGAAGCTCAGAACCACAGTTAACCTTTTCTTAATGCCTTGCAAGGAAAAAAATCACTAAATATTTTAATTCCTACTATAGCCCATGAGTTTGTGTCTAGTATGCAATTTGGAAAACCTAGAATGTTTGCACTGTGAATAGTTCTGAACTTTTTTTTTTTTAACTTTGGGGCCTTGTGTTTAAGTCAGTGAAGGGAGAATCTAAGTCCAAATCATTTCCTTAGCAGTTCTCTGGCCTCAGCCTATGATGGATGTAGCACAGTAGCCTTTCCACTAAAATTAACTAGAGCTGTCTCAAGTGTTAATTAAGAAATGCAGGCCAGGCATGGTGGTGCAAAGGTAGGAGAGTCACAGCCCAAGGCCAACCTGGGCAAATTTAGCACCAGACCCTATCTGAAAAACAAAATAAAAGCACAAGGACTAGGTGTGTGGCTCAAGTGGTATAGAGTGCTGAGTTCAAACACCGGTACTGGGGGTGGGGAAGAAGTGCTTGGACAAGGCAGCGAGGCCCTGCCAAGCAAGCATTCAAGATGCACTCCTTAATTAAGGTGATCAAGGAGAAATGAGACAGGGGTTCCAGTGCTGGAACAGGTTGTAGGACTGGAGCCCAGCAAATCTTGTGTTTGATTTGCACTGTCCTTTCCAGGGACAAGGCCCCTGGGCAGAGGGAATGTGACTACTCCATTGATGGCCTTAACCGGTGTATCCGGGACATCGAGCAGGCCTCACTGGCAGCGGTGAGCCAGAGCCTGGCCACCAGGGATGACATCTCTGTGGAGGTAAGCTGGGACTCTGGCTGGCTAAAATAAAAAGTAGGGTGAATGCTAACAAGAGAATGATGGCTTGGGGTGGGAAGTTCAAATGTGGCTGAAAACTAATCCGCGTCAGATAACTGTATGTCAGTATGGTGGGTGGGTCACCATATTTAGTTGAATGCATCACAGACCAGGCCTGAACATGTAAATTTTGAAGTTTCCCTGCTATCATTTTTCATTAATGCACTTGTTGGTTAATGGCAAGATATGGCATTAAACTCTAATGCATTTGGTCTATTCAGAGATAAAAAATTCTACCCTAAGTTATTCAGTATCTAGTTTGTAGAGACCTTTTGCATTTTATTATGTACAGACACTTTATCCTTTCTTGATGGCTTTTCCAAAGTTTAAAATTTTCCTATGAGTCATTTCTATTATCTGTGCAAAGCCTCCTGCTTCGTACTTCTTTCTCTATTGAGAGCACAGTGCCTCACACTCAGAAGGTGCTTAATAAATGTGAGTGGCGTGGTTACTGCTGTTTGCCTTTCTGCCTCTGAATTCAGTAGCAAGGAGCTCAGCTCTTTTCTCTAAGCAATGAGCCCAGAGTTGAGTATTGCTCATTTTTATTAGAATTAGAGCTGTGTATTTCACTCCAGCTTCACTGACATACATGACAGGCATGTGTTCTCTCTCTCTCTCTCTCTCTCTCCCCACCCCAAAGAAAGAGGGAAAAAAAGTAATAAAAATTTTTATCCTATGAGAGTTCTAGATTTATTAACCTGTTATTAAAGTATGATATAAAGCAAATTCACATTAAGTGTGCATCTTAATAACTTGGTGATAATTCACCACCTGCACACATCTTACACAGCCCTAGATCAAGACACAAAAACAATCAACACCCCAGAAACTGCCTCATGCCCCCCTCCTTTCATCATCCTCCCATAGTATGTCCTCTATCTTGACTTCCTCACTAGGAACAAAATCCCCCTCCTAACTGCTTATGCTCCCTAGTTATGCCATATTTAACTGAACAAATCACCTTCAATAAAACATCAGGGCTGGAGATGTAGCTCAGCAGGAGTACTTGCCTAGCACATGCTAGGCCCTGGGTTCAATCCCCAGTTCCACAAAATAATAATAAGTATTATTATTGCTGAATATTCTGGCATTCTTGACTATAATCACAATATTAGTGTAAAGATCTTAAGTAATTAGCCCAAATAAGACCCTTAGACTTTGGAAAGTCTCTGCCACCACACCTCTCTAGCTCTTTTGTTTTCAAGCTTGTATCTTAGTCTGCCCCTCTCACAGAGCAAACTCTTCCTGAAGCCCTCTGGCTCATGTGCAATTTTGTCCTGTGGGAAAGTAGCAAAGGCAAGACACTGTTCCTCTGTCAGGAATCATCTATTCCATTCTGGTGTGTGTCCCTAAAATGTCCAGTGTTCTCATCCATTGACCCCAGTTTCTTCAGTGAAACTCCTATGAGGATTCCTAAGAAGGGAGCAGATCTCTTCTGCTACTGGTTAATAATTTTCAGCCTAAAGTTCCCCACCCCCTCACACTCCCATCATGGTCCAGTCCTCTTGCCCAGCTCTTTATTGCCTGAGTTCAATTCTTGGGGGTGGAGAGGGTAACCCATCTCAGACCGGAAAAGAAATACCCTGAGGGTGACATTTTCAATATGGGCCTGCACATCATCAAGGGCAGCGAACTGAGAATCCAGCTGAGTTCAGCCACTTCCCACCTGGCATCTTCATGGTGCATGTTGGGGAAGTGTTCCTGCATTCAGAGCAACCTGGACTCATGTTCACATCACCCTCCTTTTCCTAAGTCCTGAGAACAGATGGACCTGAATGTTCCCTCAGACCCCAGTTAGCTGTCTGCATTGGGTGAAGTGCTTTCCTTCTTGGAAGGCCATGGCTGTCCCACATTTCCAGTAATTGTGCTGAATAACTTAAAAGTAAAGCTATCACCAGCATCCATTGTCAGGACTGGCAGGAGTGAGAAGCCAGTAGGACACACATTTCTCGGGCTTGCCTCCTCTCTCATGGGAGGAACCATAGGGGATTCTGCCTGGGGAGCTGAAATGCAGCTGGGCAGGGAAGGGCAGGATCTGGTGGCTTGATGGCTCACCCAGGCATCTTGATGTCCATTTCCTATGGCCTCTGTCTTTCATATGGGACTTTTAGAGTTGGTGCGGTGTTGTGGGGAACTGTTGTCAGATCAACTTTACAGTTCTGTCCTTATCAGGCCCTGCAAGAGCAGCTGACTTCAGTGGTCCAGGAAATTGGGCACCTTATCGATCCCATCGCTACAGCAGCTCGGGGAGAAGCAGCCCAGCTGGGACATAAGGTAATAGGCATCGAGGGAATCATGCTGAGAGTGAGTGGAAGCAGGGAGTGATTGATTTTGTCATTGTTCCCCAAAGCCTACAGCACTTACCATCATCTGTTGCTTTCGATCTTCCTTAAAATAGGCCAGAGCCTGAAGTTGATACTCCCAGCCTAAAGTCTGCAACCTTTTGTCCTGGCCAATGGGCCTATTTTGGTATTTTTAAGGGCACAGTGTAGGAGATGTGGCTCAAGTGGTAGCGCACCTACTTTGTAAGGGCTCAGTGTTCCCTCCTGGTCTCCTGTGCAGTGCAATGTCTATTCTTGCATGTGACGAGGCAAAGAGAATGACTGGAAACTTTTCACTGGGCAGCCAGCATCTCCCATGTGGCCACTCCAGAGGAATGGCGCTCCTACCCACAGTTATAAGTGGCAAATGTTTTGCCTGTTTGGGATTTGCTTTGCCAACCCTTCAAGGGGAGCTGACTTGTCATGTAGCCTGTGCCTCAGCAAGAAGGCCAGAAATTGGATTTTTAACAGCCTCCGGGTTTCCTAGCATCTATCAGTGCAGCTGTCTGTATCGATGTGCATATCAAGAGAAGCAGTAGCCAGAATCTTCTCTGCAGGTATTGATTTCAGAAAATCAGTGATCTTGCTTTTTCAAATTACAGAACAGCTTAAGGGCCCACTGAACTTCCTGTGAGTCCTAAGGAGAGATTTTTGAGATTTAAAATGGCCAGTGTCTCTCTGCCTTTTTAAGTATGGCAAACTTCATTTCTCAGCTGACTTTCTCAATAATGATAAAAGAGCTTGTCTACCTGTGTGGAAAGGGAGGAAGACTGTCCTGGAGGCTGGGATGTAAGCCTTTGTGCTCAACACAGAAAAACTGTGTTTGGTAAAGAAGCTGAACATTGTTCCAGCACTTACTTTTAACTGCATTAGAAACTTTGTGAGACGATGCCCTTGGGGGGCCATATCTGCATCTCCGCAGGTGTGTGTAATATATGATATATATAACATGATTCATGTATATATCATGTATTATGTAGTTATATATGTTAGTGTATCATACTACTTCCCATGCTAATGAATGGCATCAAAATAAAACTAATATATTTATGTCACTTGACTTACAAATTTTCCCTTGGCCCTTTGGCGAAATCAGTCTCTCACTTCTAAGAGAATGTTTGGGATGCAAGCAGCCTGTGACCCCCTAGCCACAGTGAGCGTTCAAGGAACCATCAAGTGAGCATTGATCTCCACATTTTTCTCCCACAGCATCACAGTGCTCAGGTGGGGCCTCGGCCGGCTGTGCCTCACCTGGGAGTGAAAAGAAATGCAAGCTCTCAGCCCCAACCTGTGGTAGTGTTTTGTGGCTGCAATAACAAATCACTACAAACTCAGTGACTTTGAACAACAAAAGTTTACTGTCTCACAGTTCTGGAGTCCAGAAATCCAGAATGAAGCTGTGGGCAGGCCATGCTCCCTCTGAAGGCCAAAGAGAAGCCTTTTCCAGCTTCCGGTGGCTCTTAGCATCACTCAACTGTCACACAAGTTCTCCTCCAGGATCACGTTGTCATATACCCTTCTATGTGTCTCTTCTGTCTTTTATGGGGATAGTTGTTACTGGGTTTAGGGCATATTCAGGTAATCCAGCATGATCTCATCTCAAGACCCTTAAATACATCTGCACATAGAGCTGGGGTTAGGACTCAATGGTAGACCACTTGCCTAGCATGCAAGAGGTCCTGGGTTCCATTCCCAGCACTGCCAAAAGAAAAAAAAAAAAGTCTGCAAAGACTTTTTCCAGATAAGGTCATGTTCACAGGTCCCAGGCATCAAGATGTGGGCAGAGCTTTTGAGGGCCACTGTTCAACCCACTCTGAGGTATGTCATGCACAAAATGCTCTGTTCTTTTAACTCAGGTGCTTAACCAGTGAGGCTGTTCCTGTTCTTTGTGTCTCTCAAGAGCAGAAGGTGTTAATAGGGTACAATACCTTCCTCCAGAACCCTTTGTCCATAATATCACAACAACACCTAGCACTTACTGAGTACTAACTATATAGTAGTCATTGTGCTGAGTGTTTTATGTACAGTCATTCTCCTAATGAACTTAATTCTCATTTTATAGATAAGGACACCGAAGTTTAATAGTAGAAAGAAATGTGCATAAATTTTCTCAATAAGGAAATGGCAGAGAAGATCCAGATCCTGTGGCTTTAAGGCTATGGCTTTCTTTCTTCATAACCAGGCTGTGTCCTCCACGAGGAAGTCAAGTTCTAGTTCAGTTACTCCATTTCATTTTATAGTTGCATTAGTGAAGCCAACCTTTAAAATAAGAAAATTGACCTAGAAAATATAGGATTCTAATGTAGTTAACATTTTGGGTCCTTCTTCAGTGCATAGAGGACCCATGCTGAGTCCTGACCCCTGATGGCCCACCAGTGCCCCATTCCCTTTGATGGCAACTCCAGTGCCCTTCCTGAGGAGGAGGCTGAAATCCTATCAAGTGTGCAGAGCTGCACCTGGGGTTGTGCAGGGTAAGCACTCCACAAAGGGATTTGGATGAAACAGGGCCCAAACCCAGCCTGTGCTCTGCTAGGCAAGCCATGAACCTGGTGTTACAATTTGGATCTGAAATGTTGCCCAAAGACCATGTATGACAGGTGTGGTCACAAGCCTGTGGTGCTGTTAGGAAAGGGTGCATCTTTTAGTGGGTCCTAATAGAAGGAAACAGGGTCATTAGGAGGTGTACTTGAAAGTGATATTGGGGCCCTAGCTCCTCCTTTCTCTTTTTCATTTCCCAGCTGCCATGATATGAACAGCCCACCATGATGTGCCACCTCACCACAGGCCCAAAGCACTGGGGCCAAGCAACTGTGGACTGAAGGCTCTGAAACCATGAGCCAAAATCAGTCCTTCCTCCTTATAAGCTGATCATTTCAGGAATTTTGTCACAGTGACAGAAGCCTGACAAAATAACCCTAATGGAAATAGCACAGCAATAGTATGTTTATTGCTGGCTAATAGTCTTGTCTCATATTAGCTGTAATGAACTTTTACTTTTTGGACAACCGCCACATGCCCCTTGTCCTAGCCCTCATCACCCCCTACTTCTGCTTTATTTGTGACCCAGTGCCTGCTCACGTGAATTGGCCTTTCTGCCTATGTTCCTAACAGCACTTGTTTTTTCCATATGGTGGGAGATTTAAGGGAACCACTGAGTAACAGTTTGCCCCAAAATACTTTTGATGGGAATAATATTAGTCATTACCAAGTATAACAAGGAGTTGAACAGAAAACTGACTCATGCTGTTGTGTTTTATCAGAGTGGGGTCTGAAGCAAATAAAACAAAATAATAAAATGTAGTTTTCTGAATGCTAAGTAGAGGATTATCACTAAATTATCTTCAGACTTTATCTTAATAGTAAAATATAGTTTTCTGGATGCTAAGTAGAGATGTATCACTAAATAATCTTCAGACTTTACAAAGCAGCAAACAAATACCAAGTGATAAGCTTCTGAAGTCCAACCTGGCAGCAGCAACAGAACTGAAATAAAAGGGAAGTAGCAGAGACAGCAGAGTGTGGCTAAGAGGCAGGGCTGTGGAGTGAGTCTGCTTCCTGCCCTGTCTCCTTCTCCCTACTGTGCTGACTGAGCATGCAGCTCTCCCAACTCAACCTCCCTTTCTTCATTTGTATCTGCTTCTGAAATCATGGAGTTTAAGCAAGGTAATGTTCAGCAGAACCTGCTGGGAATTTCCTAATAAATATTTGTGACATGTGGCCCTGAAGGGCACAACTGGCCAGCTTTGGTAAAGGTAGATGTATTATGTGTGGTATTGCTCTCCTGGGCTCTACTGGGGCAGTTATTTAGTGTCTTGATAAGCTTGTTCTATGTGTGTGTATGTGTGTGTGTTTGTATGTGTGTATTGCTGAGGATCGAACCTAGTGTCTCTCACATGTGAGGCACTTGAGCCACACCCCTGTCCTTTTTTACTTTAGTTATTTTTCAAATAGGGTTTGGTGTTTTGGCCTGGGGCTGGCCTCAGACCTTGATCTTCCTATCTCTGCCTCCCAAGTAGCTGGGATTACAGATGTGACCCACCATGCCTGGCTACTAAAGAGCTTTTGAAGATTCTTTCATCTCAGGCTTTATATCTTACCTCCCCTAATAACCTGTCCCTCTTCTGTTCTCCCTCCTTTTAAGTTTGGGAGATGTCTTTGAGTCTTAAAGTTTTTTTACTTATAAAATTGGCAATTTGTAAAATTGAGTTCAATTCTGATGTCTAACTCTAGATTTCAGAAAGGGTTTATATGCACTTCTGCCATATTTGGGGAAAAGATGAAGAATTTCCCCAAAGGAAGGAATAGCCAAGCAAATAGTCTTGTTAATTGTCGAGTACTTTCAAGAGTAAATTGTAGCCAACCTGCCTTTCCCTGTGAGCCAGGCTACCACTACTGCAACCCCTTACATGTGAAGGACACATGTACACTTAAGGCTTTTCTTTCTTGAAAGGTGACCCAGCTGGCAAGCTACTTTGAGCCCTTGATCTTAGCTGCAGTTGGTGTTGCCTCCAAGATCCTGGACCATCAGCAGCAGATGACGGTGCTGGACCAGACCAAGACACTTGCAGAGTCTGCCCTGCAGATGCTGTATGCAGCCAAGGAAGGTGGAGGAAACCCCAAGGTATGGTTCAAGATGTTGGGACTCTCACAGGACCACTAAGCTCCTGCCATACTGTGTCCATCCAGGAAAAAATACGTCTAGTTCTCTCTTGGTGGCATTTGATTTCCCAATCTAAAGTGGGGAATAATCTTGTCTTCCCAGGGATTTTTTTTTTAAGGAAAACCAAGACATATGCATAGTTAAGGCTTATTTATAATTTATTTTTTCCTCAGTGGAAGGTGTAGACAAGCATTCTTGGGGAAGAAAAAAATGAATCATTATGGCAGGAATAGAACTATAATCCTTGCTGGGCTCCTGTTCAGCATTGACACTCAGCTTGTTGGAAGGAAAGTTCAGTTGTTTTCCAATGAAGGTCATTTCTGCTCTTTGTACTTAAAAGGCAGTACTTTATTTTATTTACTGTAAGATATCTTTGAGACTTAAAGTTTCATACATATAAAACCGTGAGTGAGTTCAATTCTGGTATCTAAATAATCAAACCCAGAGACTCACACATGCTAGGCAAGTGCTCTACACTGAGCCACATCCCCATCCCAAGACACAGTAATTTAATATGAAATTCTCCCTTGCCAGTTTATAAGCATTTCTTCAGGCTATTATGTCACCTGACTGCTTTAAGTGACCAGACATGATGACTTTGTACTACATTTTGTTTTGAATTTGGGAATGTGGATACTGGTAACAACATATATAAAGACATTGACAGGATTATGAAAAGGTTGTGATAATTTTAGAAAATAGCAATCTAATGTATCTGGAACATGCAGAGTGAGGACATTCAGACAAACTGAGCTGTTCTGATAGGTGTTATCTTTCACACCAAGGAATTTGGCATTTGTTATAAGCAATGGGGAGCCAGTGACTGTGTTTAAGCAGGAGAATGACAGAACCAATTCCAACCCATATTTTAGAAACATCAAACTGGTAACAGTGTGAATAATGTCTTAGACTTAGATTTTCTATGCTCAGTCTTTTATTCACATATCTAGCAATCACTAAAAGCCAAATTCTGAGGATGCTGAAAATACTAAGAGCCAGCTACTGCCCTCAGGGTGTTCAGAGTCTTTTGGAATATAACAAGTTCTGTCGCCAATGTGGTAAGGTAGAGCAAGAAGGACAAAGAATGCAGCTTTGATAGAAATAGATTAGGACTAAGCACTGGAGTTTGGACCAGCCCTTTACTCGCCTCCCCAACCTGGAGGAGCCAGAGCCACCCTCGCAACTCAATTCTAGTTGTCCTTTCTATGGGCTGTTCACATGTCTCCACCCTCCACCCGAGGGCTTCAGTGTCAAGAGAATCAAGTAGGAGTTTCTGGAGTTTTAAGACGTTAGCATACTGCTTGGACTGCAAGTTCAGAGCTCCCTGGGGAACTGCATGGCTGGGAGCACACATAGTCAGCACAGCTAGCTCCTTAATGACATTCTGTGCTTGAAAATGCTTGCCAAAATGGTTTTCCACCAGTATGAATAGTTATCAGTGAGTAACTGGAAGCATTAGATGGTTTGAAGTGGCACGTGATGAGTAAAAGCAAGACAGAAGATTACTTCTGTCTCCTCCCCCATTCTCAACTTGCACTCTGTCAGCAAATTCTGTCAGACTTGTCCCAAAGGACACCTAAGCCACTAAAAATGTGCTTCTTTAGACCTTTTCCTAAGAAGCCAGAGGTATAGACTTAACTTAGGTGTTATTCTTTGGGTAGCTATTTACTAAGCTTTATTTGGTATGTGTTAGTGTTGTACATCCCCCAATTGCAGAGTTTTGAGTTAAAATATTAAATAATTCTCATTAGTTTTGATTTGTTGAAAAACAGCAGACGCTCTGAGGTCAGACAGAATTGGATTAAAATCCCAGCTCCAACTCTTGCTAACAGATTGCTTCACTTTGTTTCTTTCACTCACCAGTGAAGTTGCTTATAAACACCTCCCTACAGTAGTTGTAGAGAGAATGCATATAATGTAGTAGCAGGTAGTTAAAACAAGAGTCACAGCCCCAAAGTCTGGGCTTAACAAATTCATTGTGTCATCAAGGCATGTGCTGTGTAGCCTTTCTCTCACCCCTTTGAGCTCCTCTGTGTTCACTCACCCCACCCTGCCCTCTTCTACAGCATCCTTGATGGGCCCCCAGCTACTGTGTGCAGCATTCCAGCAAAAACACAGCCCTATCCACTGTTGGATGGTTCTAATACTAGTTGATTTTCCCCATCTACTAAATTGAGGTCTGCCCTCCTCCCCCAACCTTTGTCTGCTTTCCACATCCTGTGATGGCTTTGCATGCTGTCCTAGGCTTTGTTGTTGAAAGGAAGAGCCTCCTTGGAAATGGACTTCAGACAGTACCAGAAAGAATGGATCTAGTTTTTCCTTGTGCTGTGCACAGGGGCAGTAATAAGGCGCCCTTCCAGAATCTAAAATAATGACTTTATTGTTGGCCTATGGGCTCACTTCCTAGATAGCTGTTGGTCATTTACACATGCCTTAATTGAGATCCTGCTGTGTCTTTTGGGGTCTGAAGCTATTGTGCTCAGCCAACACAGGGCATATGGGTTGGGACCAAGCTGTCTAATGAAGCTGAGACTTACCTTTGGAGTTCACAGGAAAAGGCCCCAGATGAGGCTGGAGTAATTGGAGGAGGCTTCATAGAAGAGGTGGATTCTGAGCTGACCCTGTAAGGATCTGTAAAAAACACGGGAAGTGAAGGAGAAGGGGCCTTTAGAACACTCATCAGTCAATCTCCCTGAACAGGAGGAAAATAATTCATTTCTGGGATAGTCAAGAGCAAGGATATGTTTTTGTGGGTTTTGGTGACTGTCCTTGGGGCAAATGTCCTTTATTTTTTTCAAGGAATTTAAAAGGCAATTTTGTGACTTATGCCACTATCCCCCAAACTTTTTCCTGATACTTTCCTAAGCCTGGAGGGATAGAGCAGTACTCAGCTCTCCCTTAAAACTCCATTCAATTTTAATATGGAGATGTAGAATTGCGGACAGTTTTTGTGTCAACAGTGTTCTCATTGTAGCTGAAACTTAGCGGAAACCACCCCTTCTTTTTGACCTTCTGCATCAGCAAGAATCTATTCGTATTTGCTTTCTCTGGAGGGTTACATACAGGAGATCCCGTGTTTCATACTTCAATCAGAATAAAGTACATTTTGTGTTTTACTTTCTCTTGCCATAAAATCCAGCTATCAATTTAAATTAGAAGCTTACACTGTTATAGCCTAAAGGCAGAGTTCTATGTGTCCAGACACAGTTGCCTCAAAGTCAACCATCCAAGGTCAACATGTTTCACATCTCATCCTATGTCATATGGAGGAGCTCTTCTTACCTCCCAGGGCTTTTCAATTCAGACAGGCCAATTCCTATGGCTTGCAAAATCTCTTCTTGGAATTCTTTTATTTGGAAAACCACTCGAAGGAATTAATCCTCTACCATGTCCTACTGGCTTCCTTTCTTTCTCATCCATCGAAGTGAAAATGCAATATCTTGAGCCTTTTGGAAGGGTTGTCTCTCCAAGGCAAGGATGACCCTAGGCACTGCTTGGGTATACCCAGTGCCCAGGGACAGTGTGATTCTGACACTTAAGTGCCTGGCATGTGGTCGCATTGAGCTGGATAAAGGCATAACCCCTAGTGGACCGTCATTATAAATAAGGTGCTTGCATCAGAACTTCACTACATGGCATTGTTGTAATTCTTCCCATGTCACCGAAGAGGAAGCCAGCCAGTTAGTGGGAGAGTCGATAGTCGAGCCTTGGTTTTTCTGCTCCACATCTTGCTGCCACTTGAGGTGTCTCCCAGGGAGCCTAGCACTGCTGTTGTTTCACTTTTCCATTCGCTCATTCATTTACACAGCCCCAACCTTGCACTTGACATCGACACGTCTCCAAGGTAAGGTTTAAGGAGCACATGAGAGCTCTGTCTTTCTTTGCAGAGCATCTGTCCTTGAGGGCTTTCCTTGTTTACTCTCCAGCCTTCATGGCATAATTTGTGACAGAGTTCTAAAGTCCATTAAGCTTTCTGCAGATTTATTTCTCTTAAATGTTCTTATATTTCCACAATCCAACTTATTTATGGAGAGGGCACTATAGTGTGGAGAGGGAACACTGAGGAGAAGTACATCTGTTTTGAATACAATTTCTCCTGCACATTCTTTTTTTTTTTCTGTTAACTGTGTCAACTCGTATATTTAGGAACTGCTGGCATTCTCTAGCTACCATCCTGAACACAGTCACATATAAAACTAGTCATATCTAAGGCAGTTTGATACTGCATTTTTATTTTTTCTCTTGATTATAAAAAGCAATCTTTTTCTTTTTCATTTGTCTCTATGATTTTTTTTCCCAAACAAATATACAAAGTCAAGGAAAGGGAAAAAATAGAATGCATTGCTGTACTCCATTGTGGGAATATGGTTATTCGATTTTTCTCTTCTGCCTTTTTTTTTGGGGGGGGAAAGCATCTCTAACTGGAGGTCCTCCCAGTTCAGCCTTCTGGGTGCTGAGATTACAGATCAAGCCTGTGCCCTACTGCTCCTGGCCACCACACCCGCTTTTTAGGGTTATTCTTAAGAGAAACAAAGTGATTCTTAAGCACAAGCATCATTTTATTCTGTGTAAGGAAACATCTCACAATTCCCTCCCAGGCACAGCATACCCATGACGCCATCACAGAAGCTGCCCAGCTGATGAAGGAAGCCGTAGATGACATCATGGTGACACTGAATGAAGCTGCCAGTGAAGTGGGGCTGGTAGGAGGCATGGTGGACGCCATCGCGGAGGCCATGAGCAAGGTGGGCATGACTCTCAGTCTCCTCTTCACTCCTTGTCTCCATTGCTCCTTAGCTACTCAGTCTCTCTCCTACTTAGTTCCCAAGTCCTGTTCTCTGAGGAGCTAAGTGGCAGTTAAGGCTGAGCCAGCAAGCCTTCTTTTCCTGAGAGTTCTACTTAATGTATACATGTGCAGTCATATGTACAACATGTTTATTCTTCAGTATGCATTACTGTTTTTTGCAAGCCATTGTCCCTCCCTGCTAGTTTACCTGTGCTTAAAAATGGAGATAGTAAAGATCAGTTTTCTCATTTGTAAAATGGAAATGATTGTCTGTCTGTCTCCTTCGTGGGCTTAGGATAGGGAAAAAAATCTCCAGAATGAAATAATAACACGATTCTCATGTGCTGACCTTTGGAATGGCTACTTTAGAATTAGCGGACTTTATAGAATGCAGGGTCCTGGTCTCCACCCCTGACTTGCTGCATAGGGTGGAGCCTAGGAATCTTTACTGCTACTTTCAAAAAGCTCCTGGTGGTTATGATATCTAACCAAATGCAGAAGCCACTGGAATAGCATGTAAAAGCTCTTAGTGAACTCCAGAGGCAACAGGCACAGTAGATAGCATGGTGTCTTTCTCTCATTTCGTGCCCCATCACTGACATGGGTCAATAGGGAAATATGACTGTAGACAGTTTCAACTCATATCTCCTGCCCTGTCCCCCAAGGAATCCTTCACAGTTTGATACTCATTAAAGTAGACATTCGTTCACAGCATCTAATTGCCATCCTGTGATAGCATGGCCAAGAATTTCAGGTATCATCTGTGTTCTGAAATGTCCACTATCAGATTATGAATATATTAATATGATTTTCCAGAATAATAAGTGGTCTTTAATTGCTAATTTAGAGAAGATTGGTTGTTCCTATCTCCATAAAGAAATGATACCCTGTAACTATAATTAGAGTTATTATCTCTAAACGTTATATACTAGTAATTGTCATACTAGTGAAAGTAACCAGCCTGGGCTGGACTGCCATGTCTCCCTCAGAGACCTCAGGCTCTGCTTTGTAAAAGTCTCTATTACTTTCTGGCCTTCTCATTCTTCAAATATGGGCAGTTTGGCAGAAAAATGAGGAGAAGTTTCCTCTTTCTCAATGAATCTTATAGGGTTTGTTCAATTTCCAGGACAACAAAACACCAAGGTCTGAAAACAAGCCATAAAGGTAATAGAGCCCAAGGTTTCTTAGTACAGATTAGAAAGTCAAATGATCATCTTTTTCTTTCTAGGAAAAGGTATTTTTAATATTGGTATTGTGACAGGGAAATGTTCCACAAACTCCTAGGAAATGAAATTCAGATTCCAAAATCTTTATTTAATAGCCCATGAGCATTTGTATTGTGACAAGCCATGGACAGGAAAAGCAGCTCTCACACCTGTTGTCAGTTGTGTGGCAGCCTCCCTCAGCCCCTTTCTCAGGACTCTTCTGGAAGAGTTGGGAGATAAGTCTGGCATTACCTGATAGCAGCAACTAGGGACTGCAAACAACTCAGGCCACAGAGGCCAGGAACAAATGTTTCCTTGTTCCCCCTCAGTTCTATAAAATAAAAAACTGGGGTTTCAGGGTTCCCTCTAAACCCTTACCTACTATGATCTGACATCCTAGGGACCTCATAGCACCTCCTCCCCATCCTCTCTTTCCTTGGCCTATTGTTAGGGCCTCCAGATGAAGGTCTTTGGACCCCAAGCAGTGAGACATTAAGAAGTTGGCATTTTCTACCCAAGCTTTGCTAATTGGGTTGAAACCTCCATACACTCTTCAAATTATTATCTAAAATTGTCAAAGGTGATCACTGGCAGAAACATGTGAGGGTAGCAACAGTGGATTCTAACTTGGATGCCAATTCTCAACACTTTGAGATCATCCTCAAGATGATCTCAAATAGATCTCAATGGAGGTTCTCCTAGAGATGCCTGGTCTCTATGTCTAAGCACTAGAAAGTTCAGAGCTAACAGGTTAACGTGAAGTAATCAGCTGTCTTGGCGACCTTGGACAAGGCCCTCAAACTCTATGAGCCTGGATTTCCCCATTCAGTGAAGTTAGTGGAATTCTATGGGATCTCAAGATACAGTAGTACCTTTTTGTTTTGTTTTTGTTTCCCCTACATGTTTGGCACCAAGAAAGAAAGTCACAGGTCACAGGAGCAAACAAAAACCTGGCTGTCTTCATCACTGTTTCATAACAGAAAAGTCATATTCATACCAGAGCAATATGAAGGCTAAAATAGTAGAGTAAAGGAGAATTCTTGCCAGGCAGTGGTGGCTCACGCCTATAATCCTAGCTATTCAGGATGCAGAGATCAAGAGCATTTCAGTTCAAAGCCAGCCCAGGCAAACAGTATCTGGAAAAAAGCAGTATCCCAAAAATAGGGCTGATGGAGTGGCTCAAGGTGAAGGCCCTAAGTTCAGTTCTTTCAACTAAATAATTTTGAGCTCCTAAAACACTACTTTATTCTTGCTAAAGGTAATATGGTGGGCAGGAGTCACTAGCCAAGTGTTCTAAGCTTCTCCTTAATCCCGGCACCTGCCACGTTTGCAGTTAGCCATATTGCTTGTAAAGGATCTGGCATTTATCTGCCTAATAGAGACCTTGAATGTCTAGCCTAGAGTTTGTGTTGATAGTCTAAAATTACATTGTGGTTGTGCAGTCACATTATGCATGGGCTACAATGAAATGTTTCTTTTGTTCACGATGCAGCTTCTGCCTGCTTGTGACATGTAGCTCTTCTTGAGACACTAGCCTAACATTTTCCTCATTGACCTCTTGGCCCCACTCTCTTCCTGACTCCACATCATCTTGCCTGGTAGATCTTCTCAAATATGTCACTGCCTACCCAGATCTCGCCATCTTTCAAGGTTCTCCATCTAACAGATCCAGTCTCAGTTCCCCCTCTTTCTACACCCCCTTCTGTCAAGTGATGTCAACCCACTATACTAGCTCTTCCTGTATTCGTTTCTATTCACTTTGTTTCTTGGAATATCATTTATGATAATAAAGATGATGATGGTGGTGGAGAGTGGAGATGGGTGGCCTTTTTCTTCACCATAGTCACCACTGACATCATCATCTTCATTGTGGTGGTCATCATCTCTTCCTTTATGTAGCTCTTGACTAGGAAGAATCTCAGTAGATTTTTATTTTGGTTTGGTTTTTGGCATGGTGGGGTCTGAACTCAGGGCCTCACTCTTGCTAGGCATGTACTCTAACCACTTCAGCTTCACCTCCTTTTCAGTTTAGGTTATTTTTCAGATAGAATCTTATGCTTTTGCCTGGGCTGGCCTTGGACTGTGATCCTCCCATCTATGCCTCCCATACAGCTAGTTTTATAGGTGTGAGCCACCATGCCTGGGCTTCTAGGTCAACCATATGATGCTTGGAGGTTACTCATAAAGGATCTGAGACTCAGGACATTTAGCTAGCTTAAGGACCATTCACAAGCCCTGGAGCCAGGTCTCAGATAAAAATCTGAGCAAAATGTCCCCAGCCTTTCAAGGAACACAGCCACAGTCCCACTTGCTCCCACTCCTCCACATGGAGATCTTAATTCCTATTACACTTAGAATCAGGCAAGCATCAAGTTATTCTTAGAGCTTCCAATTCCTTCTATTGTTCTAGGTCATAGCAGGGTGTTCCTGGGCATAAATATCTGTGGGCCATACTACTGTCATGGAAGCCTTGATGATCTAGTTTCTGCCTTTTCCCCACCTCCTCTTCCACCTCTTTGCACTTCCCAAAGCATCAGGCTCACTCATATCTCCATGGGCTCAAATGCCAGTCCCTCTTCTTAGGATACCTTCTGTACCTTTTCTATGGGCAAATTTCTCCTCACCTGTCAATGCTTGCTGAAATTTCATTCCTGTGAATGACTACTATTTCTCCCGCTCCTCCCAGACAAAGCTGGGACCTGTCATTGCCTGTGTCCCCTGGATGCCTATGTGCACCTTGATTGCAGTCTTGCCCATGGAAGTTGGAGAATTTGGTTGAGTCTGGGCCAGAGAATCTCTGAGGTTCTCTCTGTTTTTAAAGTTTCTAATTGTAACACAGACAGTCCACGTTAGGCTTCTTCTTTTTTGGTGGTACTGGGATTTGAACTCAGGGCCTAGTGCTTACAAGGCAGGCACTCTTCCACTTGAGCCACTCCACCAGTCCCTAGGCTTCTTACTGACTTCTGATTTCTTTTCCTCTCCTCTGTAGCTGGATGAAGGCACGCCTCCTGAACCAAAGGGAACATTTGTCGACTACCAGACAACTGTGGTTAAATACTCCAAAGCCATTGCTGTCACAGCTCAGGAAATGGTAAGAGGAAAAAGAGCTGCCATAATCACTGTTGTTGCCCTTTGCCCACCACTGCCTCTGAGTCCTCAAGCCTGGGATCTGTGTTGGGGAGAGACCAGTCCATGTTTCTAGCTCCTCTTGGGCACGGGCTCCTGCCCTCTCTCTGGGTTCTCATCTCATGGAAAGCAGCAAGAGGGCATCAAAGATGACTGAGACTTAAGCATGAGGACAGGGAGCGAGAAGAGGAAAGGACGTGAGAGAAGAGGATGAAATTGAGAAGAAAGGGGAGTGATGTCCTATTCACCTCTGAAACCTCTTGAGGAGTTTTTATAAATTTAAATTACAGTTTAAGAGAAGATATTTAGGGGTAAATCAGACCAGGGATGGGATTGTCTGACAGAATCAAATTATAACACTTGGACAATAAGGCATGGCCAATCTTTCAGGCAAAATAAAATGGCATGGTTAATGTTTTTTAAAAAAAATTCTTGCCAGCAGAAGGCCCGTAACTTTTGGAAGTGTTTGCCTTGTTTTGTTTTTCTAAATGTAACGTAATCAGAATTGTATTATATGAATCCTTAGACATAAATGGAATTGAGAAACAATGCTATCTTGATGTTGAAAAATTACGAGATGACAGGTAGTGTCTTGGGAGAGTTAATAGGAGTATGTATAAAAGTTCTTCTCCACTTTTGAAGTCCCAGATGCTGTGGGGTAGGACTCTGGAAGACACTTCTTTGATGCTTGCCACATAAGCCTGAGCTGAGAAATCAAATGGCCTTCCTAACTAGAGGGACCAGCTGAGTCATCACGTGGCTTCTGTCCCGTTACTACAGCCCAGTGGCCTTTCTAACTGGCTCTGTCATGTAATTGTGTGTCCACTAGAGGTAGAGCTTGGACCATGAAGGCTTCCCTGACTGCTCAGCTTATATGTGGAAACTCTTTGCCAGGCTTGTTTAAGAGAATTCAGGCTAGGGAAGTAAGGAGTGATAGTACCCATCTCTTAATGTTGTAACAAGCTGGATTTGAGCCCAAACTGTGCTTTCAGGGGAGCACAGGGGACAGATCAAAGATCCCATTCTGCAGCCTTCCTGTGTGGTACAGCAGTGGGAGAAGACATTTCTGGAGTATCTTCTGGGCCAGGCTTTGGGCTGGCCTGTCTTGACCCTTGGTGTCCTGGCCCTCATGAGCCCAGCCTTGTGCCGTTCCTGAGACAGCTGGCCTGTAACCTGGAGTTGGAGGGAGGCACACTTCATCTCATGGGGTCACCCCCCAAATCCTTGTGTTCCTCTTGACAGGGAACAGACAAATGGAGCGCTCCTGGCATCACCTCACTCTGTTAGGGTTTAGCATATGCTCCCTGGAACCCCCACTTGGGCCTGAAGCCTGGGGCATTTCATTGTAAGCTTGCTTTTGATGGGATAGACATTCCTGTCCCTCCTCCATGGATATGGAGTTATTAAAAAGGGCTTTTAACAGCCCTTTAAAATCAAGGTCTTAAAAGGCCACAAGAGAAAGATAGTATTGCTATCCAGAGTGAGAAAAAAGGTGGAACAGGAGAAAAGCCCCTTGAAGATCGAGAAGGACACTTTTCTTAGTGACACGTTAAAAGTACTGTTGGGAGTCTAGAAAAAACTAGCATGGTATCTGGGTAAGACTGGAGTGAGACATTCTGTTCTATGATGCAGTGAGGGGGAGTACTAAATGTCTTGACTGTTAGAAAGGTAGGATTTGGCCATTTGGGCTACAGTATACTCAACTAAATTTATGGCAGAAACCTTGCCATGCTTTGGCACAGATTTGCAACAGAGCTGTACCCTCTCTGGGTTTCTTCCTCTAGAATATTGGCTTCTCCATCATTTCTCATTCACGACTGTGTAACAGCCTTGTCCTCATGCGTTCTGTTGCTGGGGTGGGATCTGCTTCTGAGGACCCAGAGATCAGACCACCTGTCCACAGATGCCTGGCAGAGGATGTGCTGTGCACAGGGCTTGCACCCCCTGGTGGCTTCTCAGGCGAATTCCTTGTTGATCCCACAGGGCATCTCTCAGAGAGTGGACCCCAAGAGCCAGCTCCACTCTATGGCCTGAATTGCTGAGCATGTGCCCATCTGGCCGAAGCTGCTGGCCTGAGAGGCCCTGCGGGGCGTGCACGCCTCTGGCCTGTTGTGTGCAATGCAGCATGGGCTCTGCTTGAACTTCCCTCCCCAGTGTCCAGCCCTGAATGCAAGTCCTGGCCTTCACCCCTTTGGGGCTTAAAAATGAATGAAACTCTTTGGCTTCCAGTGGTATTAACACACAGTTCTCATGCTTTTCTTTGTGTGTGTGTTTGTGTCTTGCTTGTTTTCTTTTTCCAGATGACTAAGTCGGTTACTAACCCGGAGGAGTTGGGAGGACTGGCTTCACAAATGACCAGTGACTATGGGCACCTGGCTCTTCAAGGCCAGATGGCAGCAGCCACGGCCGAACCAGAGGAGGTCTGCCACCTTAAGACCCCTATATTAAGAAGCAAACACAATGGTGCCCACCCCGGGGTGTTCTGTGCAGCCTAGCTCCACTCCAGAAGACCCCAGCCCAGTAGCCAGAGCCAAGATCCTGGTTCCTTCATTCCCACTACTGTGCAGCCAGTGTCCCAGGTCCACACCTGTAGTCCCAGGTTTGCTCAAGACTTTCCAAGGTCAGCTGGCCAAGAGCTGGGGCCATGTTTGAGTGGGCTTTCAGATAAAGGGACTCTATTGACAATGCCAGGCCTCTCACTCATCTCCCATCATGCTCTTAGCATACCCAAGCCCAAGATGCCTGCCATCTTCACACGTCCTAGTCCCACTTGGCACACTCCCCTCAGTCATGTTTATATTTACCAAAGACTCCCAGAAGCATTGGAAGAGCCAAGTGTGGGACTTCACTGTCCCTCTCTTGAGAAAACCCTGAGGGCTGGCCGAGTGGATCAAGTGGTAGAGTGCCTGCCTAGCAAGCGGGAGACCCTGAGTCCAAACCCCAGTACCACCAAAAAAAGGCGGGGGGGGCGGGGAGAGAAAAGCCTGCTTTCATGACACAAAGCCTTGCCTGGATATTCTTGGTGGCTTTCTGAAACTGGCCCCTATCCCACCCACTGTGATACCTTGGTGGGCAGTTCACACATCCTCCCTTAATTAAATTTCCATAGAGGCCAGTTGTAGACATGGCTTCAGCAAGCCTGCACCAGAAAGAGTCTTAAAGCGGAAAAATGAATGGCCCTCAGGCCACTTTCTGAGAGCAGTTGTGTGCAATAGCTCTGAGAAATGGAGTGGTCTCCTGGGAAGACATGACACCGGTGGGACTCCAGGGGACCTGGAACACCCAGAAGGGTCCAGGGCCCGTGGAACTATGTGGCTCCTTAGGGAAAGAAAGCTCAGTCTGAAATACAGAATGATGGAGGGGGTTGCAGGAACACTGGGAAGACGAGAGTAACCACGTTCTGTGAAATTCAGCAAGCTGTTTATTGAGCACGAACCCTGTTCGAGACATTCTTAAATGAATAGGGCTGTTGAGTCAGTAGGTAGTAGCTAGTCTGCCCCTCTCCTTGCAATGGCAGCCACTGTCCCTGAGTCACTCAGCGCTCCCACTTCTGTTGGGAATAAGGTCCAAGTGCACCAAAGACTGCCAGAGATACTGCAGACGTGAAGACCGTGTCACTTTCTAACATGTGTCGTAACAATGCATGTGGATAAGAGTATCATATATATGTACTTGCTTACATATATATCTAGCATGGGATCCTTAAGTTCCTAACAATGCGTGGGTTTTCTGATTTCAGAATAACTGAATATTTAGGCTGCAGCCTGAATAATTCTGTTTGTAATAAGTACAATAAGTCACTACCCAGAAAAAACATCTATCAGAGATCTGCATCTTGATTCTTTTATACAGGCCCATCTTTCTTTTATTTTTAAAATAGAGTCCCTGTGTTAGTAAGAGTAGACCGTAATTCTAGTCTATAATTTATCTAGACATATAATTCATATGATTAACATGTAATTTTGAATTTCATAAACAAGTATAAGGGAAGTTATGTTACAGTAAGGAAGTTTGGTTGGACAAAGGGAAGAAGTGTTTGGCTCTGAGAGGGGATTAAAAACACAAAGACGGTTACAAAGGAGGTTTGGAAACCGATACACAGAATCCTTTGAAAATGGAATCCACCTTCATCTCTCTTGGTGAGTTGATGTTCTGGCCTGCCTGAGTTGTCTGCAGGGCCTGTTCCACATCAAAGCTCCCTGTGTGAAACAAGCAGATTTTCTTACTGCAATGCAGACTGGAAGCAAAATATGATATAATGCCCAAGCAGCCAGGGAAATACTGTCTTGCTAAAAGCACAACAGGTTATGTTAGCTCTTGGCCCTGTGTTGTAGCCACTGATGTTTCCGTCAAGGTTTTCCTTTTTCACGTTATATCTTGAGGGATGTTTTACAGTCCACACATGAGAGTACTGTGACCCACAACCAGAGAGGGCAGAGAAAAGATAAAATTACTAGTGGTTTGCAAAGGAAAATTCTTTTATGCATTTGCCAGACAGATATTTGGGGGGAAACTGAGAAGGTTAGAAAATCCCTAAAGCAGTGTAGTTTCTTATTCCAAGATTGTGGAATTATTTGTCTATGCAAAGGGCCCCACATCCCAGCATGTGAAAATATTTGTATCCAGGGTAAGTGAGGAACAACTGCCCCGTGGCCCACTGTGCCGAGTCAGCAATTTAGTCCTCTCCACAATGTGGCAATTACGGGAAAAGTCAGAGCTTTGCCCTCAAACATCAAGCAGGCTCTTTCTCTGCTTATTTTTCCATGGAAAATTCAAACCTTTGTTAACATTGCCATGACAACTTCGTCAAAAAAGTTAAAACCCTCTGCAGCTTTGCAATTTTAGATTAGTTTCCTCTGACCAAAGGCAAAAAAAGAAGGAAAATGAGATCTAGAAGGCACAACTCCTAAATGTAAATCCTGGGGAAAGATGTCACGGATGCAGCTTTGTCCCTGAGGAGAATCTGCTTTAACCACTTATAGTACTCAATGTCTTAAAAGCAGGAACATTTGTTAAGCCAGGAACCACAGCCTTCTCCCACAGATAGGATGGTTGTTCATGCTAGAATTTTTTAGAGCTTACCACTCTTAAGACATGCTCTTTGGAGGTGGGTCTGTTGTACACACTCTTTACTTTTTCCTTCCATTTTTCATCCAATTTGTCAGATAAGTCTGAAGTCACCTTTTCGACTCAAGCCCTCCTAGGTCAGTGTTCAGGGACCTAGTTTCAGGTGCAGTTGGTTTTGAGGTCTGTGAAAAGTCTGTCCATTTTGCTTGATGTTAGGAAAAGTGATGAGCTGTTCTTAGCCCGCCCCCTCCAAATGTAATCAGACCCAAAGCTACATTTTGCCAGCCTTTTAATATCCCTCAGGGCCCAAAACCAGGGAATGTTTTTCTCCATCATCCTTTTATTTGGTCAGTAAGGGAATTGAGACTGTTTCTTGAGGCTGAAGTACTGTTTTGCTGAAGTTGCCAATTTAAAACCCAAGCTGTATGTCTTTAGCAAGATTCCTTTATAATAAACACTAGTCGTATGTTGAGTCATCCTGTGGGTCTTACAAAGTTGGATCTTGTTTGCTGAGAAGTTTTAGTGATGCTTTGAGAAGCTGAGCTGTCTTAAATCCCTAATCAGATTGAATACAGTCTTTAAAATGCATTCCCTTTCTAGAATGATCATCTGGTGGTTCAAAGTGTTCCTTGAAATTGCCAGTAGACAATGTTGATTATGCTGTCCATTTGCATTTAAGTGGCCCACTACACCACATGGCAGATGCTGTGATAGGCTCTGTCCCATTTACCCTCCCAGCAACGTACACAAGACAAGAGGCATTCATCACCTGGAAGCTAACCAAGGCCCAGGGAGCTCAGCAAAATTGCTCAAGACCACAAAACTGCGGTGGTTTGGTTTTCTTTTTTGTTTTTCTCAGTACAAGGGCTTGAAATCAGGGTCTTGAGCTAGCTAGGAAAGTACTCTATAACACTTGAGCCACACCTGTAGCCACACCTACCCACCCCCTTTTTTTTAGGATATTTTTCAGATAGGGGCTCACTTTTTGCCTGGGCCAGCGTGGGATTGTGATCTTTCTACCTATGCCTCCCACATAGCCCAGCTCACTTACTGAGGTGGGGTCTCACTAACTTTTTGCCCAGGCTGGGCTTGAACTATGCAGTCCTCTCAATCTCTTGCCCCCTCCCCACCCCAAGTAGCTGGGATTATGGGTGTGAGCCCCAGCACCTGGCCTCTGATTGTTTTTATCGAAACCAATTTAACTAACTTGAATTTTATTGAATTTATTAATTTATTGAAAATCATTGAATTTTATTGAAACGTTGAATTGGAAGATCTTTTTTATTTTAAAATCCTGTAACTTTTTCTTCCATCACTCCCTCATCACCTGACTCTATCAACAGCCCTTTAATCACTTAGAAACCTGTGGGAACCCTTCACTTAAGAGCTCTGGCCTTTAGATTAACTCTGACCCTTGAATATTTAGATTTAAGCTACATGGATCTGAAAGGTTTCAAAGGCCAGATTGAGTTTAAACTTTAATGGGCCATCCCCCAGCTCCAGCTTGACCTTAGCTTTAAACCAACAAACATGTCTAACAAATACATATTTTTAATAATCCCAGCGCTAGGAGGCCGACTCAGCAGGATCATGAGTTGAAGGCCAGCCTGGGCCACATAGCAAGACCATATCTCAAAAGCAACAACAACAACAAAACCCATATATTTGAACAGTACTGCCATGTGGGCTGGTTAGCATGCCTTTACCCTTCTCAGTGGTAGGTCTTACTGCTATACCATCAGAGCTGCCATGCTGTACAACGCAGGGCCACCACAGGAGATGCTGAACAGGGCAGCCCTGCCTGATTGTACACCAGCCCTCAGCGTATAATCTAAGACACCCAGAGAGCAGAGCACAGACACTCAACCTTGTGGATTATGAGAATTTTCTGCTAAGGCAATTTAAAAGTCCTTAGGGCCTTAAGGACTTAAGGGAAGAACCTTTTCCCTCTAAAAGAAGTCTGTATTTCTATAATATGAGAAAGTGTTTATGGTTCTCTCTCTCTCTCTCTCTCTCTCTCTCTCTCTCTCTTTTCTCCAAAAGTTATGCTTCCTTAAATTCTGACCAATGAGATAACAGCAGAAAATAGCATCTTGTTGTCCAAAATCTCCCAGGCATGATTCACAATACTGAGCTATTTTGGTAAATATTCTCATTAGTTTCTAGAAGTATAAGCCACAGCTTCTTGAAAATAACACTGACTCATGCTTAAAATTTTCCTTTTAGTTGCTTACCTGGGCTGGAGGGCAGCTTGTTTATGACAGCTATATTGATCAGACTAAAATGAAAATCAATGTGAGACAACCAGAGGAATGCTTGGGGGAGGGGGAAGGCTGGCAGCTTCACCATAATGGAGCTCATTCAGCTTCTCTTAGGCAAAGTACTTTTATAATCACTCAACCAAGGATCTTTAAAAGAATGCATGTCTACCAAGTCTTTAACTCTGAAGATGTTCCAAGCTTTTGCCTGGGCTGGCAGCAGTCCTTCAGAGTGGCTAAAGAGATAGGCAGGTACCACCACACTTGGTTTGTTTTTCAGATAAGGTCTCTAGCTAACTTTGTCAGGACTGGCCTCAAATTGTAATCCTCCCATCTCCCCCTCCCGTCTCCCCCTCCCTCTCTTGTAGCTGAAATTATGGGCTTGTATCACCATGCCCAGCCTCCTGAAAATGTGCATTTTTTTTTAAGGAAACCTCAAACCTGAACTGATAAGACAGGAAGCCTGGCTCTGTATGTTTGTTCTCACCATGTGGTTGGCATAGCTGAGAAAGGTGTTGTTCTGGTTGGTAAACATCCCAATTCTGTAAGAATCTGAACACTTTAAAATACACTTAATACTAGAGCAATATTTTGAATTTAGGATTACCCTATAGGGCTGTCATAAGGCATAAATGAAATGCATGAAAGAGGCCTCGACACACTGTAGGGACTCCATTAATGCTTATTGAATGAATAACAGAATTATCCCACAGAATTCATTGAATTAATATTCCTGTTGGGTGGCTTGGAACACAAATGAGCTAGAGGCCAGAAAAGGTGACAGACATCAGGAAGGCATTATGCTAGCCCCATGAGCTACAGGTTTATTTAATGGAGACTGCCAGCCTTTTACAGTCTCTGAAAAGGGCAGCTAAATCAACTGAATTCCATACTTCACCAGACTCCTAACAGGAGTGGAATTTTCCTAGCCAGGCTCCCATAGGACTCAGTAGAAACTTTCCACGTAGGGCAGGCCTCAGTGGCAGGATCCCATCACACTCCTTCTCCTCCTGGCCTTGCCTCTGCAGATCGGCTTCCAGATTCGCACACGTGTTCAAGACCTGGGCCACGGCTGTATCTTCCTGGTGCAAAAAGCAGGGGCCCTCCAAGTGTGCCCCACGGACAGCTATACCAAGAGGGAACTGATAGAGTGTGCCCGTGCTGTCACAGAAAAGGTAAGGAGCTGTGGTCAGCACTGGTGCTAGGTGACTGACCCACTGTGATGGGGACAAAAGCAGGAAACCAAGCCAAAGTTAACCTAGCTAAGGCAGCCATTTTCCCTCACCACTAGCGCCTTCTCCGGATGGAGTACATCAGAGAGTTGGGGATGATTGCTAGGAAAGTTGGGATCTGGTACTCAACCCTGTCAGAGGGCTCTTCTACAGACAGACTCTATCACAGTCACCGTCAGAGCCAGGAGCCAGCCAGGGGGAGGCCTGGTGCCGGAGCCCCACCCTATAACCTTGGTTTCCCTTCCCAAAGAGTCCCCTAGGTGCTAAGGGCCGAGTAAAAAAACTGAAAATTCCCTTGGTTTGTAACCTCTTTATTTACAGACAGATAGTGAAGGCAGGGAAGGTTAAGTGACTTGAAACAGTTGCATGGAGGAGCAGGATTTGCATGGGTCTCCTGACTCTTAAGGATGACCTTGACTGTTGGTAGAGACGCTCATGGCAAGATGGGGGAGACACTAAGAGCTTAGCTATGTTACCTTACCTTGCCTAGCCTCAATTTCCTCATCTGTGAAACGAGGACATGAAGTTACAATACCTGGTTTAGAGAATTGTGAAGATTAAACGTGGTGACATATGTAAAAGTGTTTGGTGTCATGCCAGGTGCAAAGTTAAGCATTCCGCAAATACCAGCCACTATTCTCTGTAAGCTTTCCTCCTATGTTCTTTCTTCCCAGGAAGTTTTCCTGGTTACAAGGCCCCACTCCATAGGTCCCTTTGTGCCCAGTAGCTCTTCTCCCCCATTAATCATGCCTTTAGTCTCACTTATGTCTGAGTTGTTTCTCAGGGTGGCTCATTTGCAAAGCAGTTGTGCTTTGGTGGTGTGTCCCTCACCCTTCCCTTTGGCTGGTAGCACATAGAGTTCTGTACTGTTTAGAAACTTGGCTACAAGGCTAAAGGGCTGGCCAGGAGGAAGCTGCCACAGAGACTACTCTGTCCATGGCCCCTTGCTGAGGTTGAGCCTCAGTCTGGCCATCTCCACAGCCCACAGAACCTTCCGGCCTCTCTGGGCACCACAGAAAGAGGAAATAAATCTCTCAGCCCAAGGAAGGTGGATCTCTCCCTTCAAAGCCCTTCCCAGTTGTGGAAGTGGCCCTTGCCAAGCTGCCCAGAGAAGAGCTTGCAGCAGGAGCATTAAGGAGTAGGGGTGGTCCAGGCAATGTGTCTTTGTGTCTTCCATGGCTGGCTTTGGCCTTGCTGCTTCTGACAACAGAGGGTCCCTAATTTATGACACCTGAGGGACTAAAGGTGGGAGGTAGTCAGTTCTCAGCAATTGCCTTTGATCTCCCATCTCCCCAGTGTCATTCTTACATGTGTTGGTGTTGTATGTAGTGTATCCTCTAACCATGAGTCCCTGGACTAACCTACCTTTGTGTCCTACCTAGTAGATAATAGGCACTCGGTAAATACCTGCTTACTTGCACACCTTTGGTAGTGGTCGGACATTCTTTCCTTCCACCCTTTCTGAGAACGTCTCTCTCACCCACACACCCAAGGCATTCAATCCCTTGACTTTGTCACCTGTCCTCAGAGAGTTCTTTCCCAAAACCATTGACCTCCTTCCTAGGCCACCTTTGTGCCAGTCTGACTTGTCTTTTCCTGGTGGGACCTGCTGGCATTTAACAAATGGTCAGGCAGATGAGAAAGAAATAGACCAACAGTCGGCTGGTCTTGGAACATGGCAGTGCTCAGGAAATAGGCCCTGTGCCTCTCCTGTGATACTGCCCCCACAACCTCTACTGAGACCTGAGCGGCATGGAAGAGAGCCTCTCAGTCCTGCTGTGGCTCCCTGGGCCTGGCCACATGCTTCAAGAGATACATTTACCAAGCACTTGCAGACTGTTCTTTGGGTCAGCCATAGTGGAGGATGGTGGATGTGTGGACACAGATCGAAGAGCCTCCAGCCACTCATGCCAAATGCTACTTTAAACCTTCAGTGCTGGACTGGTGGAGTGGCTCAGCATTTAGAGTATCTGCCTAACAAGCACAAGGCCTTGAGTTCAAACCCCAGTGCTGCTAAAAACATCACCACCCTTCAGTGCCATGGCATCATCAGGGCAGCATGGTATTCTGGAGTCCTAGTGGCTAGACTGTATCCCTTGATGAGATAGCTGTCACAGTGGAACTTAGAGCTGCAGGATGAGTATGTCAGAGATTGGAGAGGAAAAAAGGGGCCCTGTGGGTAGAATGCCAGCCCAGATTGAGAAGGCGAGTGTCTGGACACACATGTAGCTGGCAGTTATAGTGAGAGGTGGGGACGTTGACATGGTGAGTTGTAAGCACAGGTGTGGAATGGTCAGTTTTGGGTGGCAAAAGTGTGTCTGGGAATAAGGAGGTATGCTGGAAGGGCTGGGGAAGGGGGGCTGGCAGCCAGGGTTTCTGGTGTGGAATGTGCTGGGGTGAGGCCCTTTGCCCACTTGCTGACCCTCAGTGACAGTTACCTGGTGGCAGGAGCACTGAGAATGGAGAGGCTGTATGTGGAGGTCCTCTCTGGACTTCAGCTCTTCTGGGTTCCACTTTGAAGATCTCCAGTCATGAGGCAGCCAGTTTAGAAGTTTAGAAGTGCTGAGCTCCTAACTAGAGGATGGAAATGACCACGCATGGTGCAGGAGCCCAACCCCAATCCCTAGTTGTAGTTTCACCTTTGACAGAACACTTGTGAAGTACAAAGGCTTTGTGTGACACTTTGCCTGTATTAGTTTTCCTCTGAAATTCTCCCAAGAACCCTGACAGACAAGAAGTAATAGCCCCATTTTAGAGATGAGGAAACTGAGTTCTAGAGAGGTGAAGCAGCTTGCCCAAGTTCATGTGGCCTATAAATGACAAAGCTGGTATTCAGACCCAGGCTGTTGACTCCAAGTTTGTGCTAATGACTACTAAGCTACTTCAGCTCCAAGGAAGAAAACTTCAGTGATTTCAGAAACTGCATGCTTTCGGGTCACATCTTCTCCATTTCCTGGTTCCTGCTTACATTCCCTTTCTACCTACAGGTGTCTCTGGTGCTCTCTGCTCTCCAGGCTGGGAACAAGGGCACCCAAGCATGCATCACGGCTGCCACTGCCGTGTCTGGGATCATCGCCGACCTGGACACTACCATCATGTTTGCAACAGCAGGGACGCTGAATGCAGAGAATAGCGAAACCTTTGCAGATCACAGGTACAGGGAAAGGTTCAGGCTGCCTAGGAGCTGAAATCTGGGCATCCATTTTGATTTCCACAAGATGCTCGAATGGGAGTTAGTGAACCACAGATTCAGAATTAGCCCCTTTTGCCAATTCTATACAGAGCCGTGTGTGTGCTTGGCTTTTGACAGCCCTGAATCCAGGCTGTCCCAGCAAAGGACAGCTTTAATCCTTTCAAGCCAGGGAGAGTCTCCTCTCACTGCCCACCAACCCAGCAGGATCTGGAGTGGCAGCGGCAGGCACATTTAGCAATTGCAGTGTCCTGGGGAATGGAGCTCAAAGCCTGCTGCCTCTCCTGGACCTGATGAGAACACTGGTGCTGAGGCCTCTACACTTACTACTGGAGACCCCCAAATCCTCACCATATGTCCAGTCCTTTTCCTCTCCCTCTAACCCAAGGGCTGGTTTCCAGAGGAGATTCCTGCGCTCTGTCCTTCCTCCCACAGCCTAGCCCCTTGGCCTCTGATTCCCAGACAAAATAACCTAATCCATGCCTCCTGGCAGCTCACTGTAGCTGTGAAGTACCTCAGGGGATAGGGGGAGCCACAGAAAAGAAGCCAAGCTTTCATCTAACTAAAGGGCTAGGGAATGTAGCCAGGCTGGTGAGCCTGAGCCCTTCCCTGAAGTTTCACTCCTGATGGCTTTCCTATCCTCTCCCCAACTTTGCCTACATGGAAGATACCCCCTCCCCATAAAGGAGGAATAATATACTGCCTCTCCTTACCTAAGCCCACATGAAGGATTTCCTTCCTTCCTAACTGCAAGTAAGCAACTTTGAGCCTTTGTTTCTCCCTTTCTCGGCCCCGCCCTCATCCTTAGAGAAAACATTCTGAAGACAGCCAAGGCCTTGGTGGAGGACACAAAACTGCTCGTGTCAGGAGCTGCATCCACTCCAGACAAGCTGGCCCAGGCAGCCCAGTCCTCAGCAGCCACCATCACCCAGCTCGCCGAGGTGGTCAAACTGGGGGCAGCCAGCCTGGGTTCTGATGATCCTGAAACCCAGGTATGCATGGTGCTAGGGGAATATCCGATTCATGTTCCCACGCACTCTGTGCACCAGGCCTTAGGAGAGGACCCAGGCAAATAGGGATTGCTGAAGTAAACAATATTCCTGCGAGTGTGCCTCGTCTGGGGAACTAGTAGGGAAGCAGTTATCCTGAAGAGACAGAGGCATGGACTATGGTAGTAACTATGGTGGGAGGGTGGAGACAAGCTCATGGATTTAAGAAGAATCTAGAAGGAAGAGCCATCCAGGCCTGGTGAGCAACTGTACACAGTGGGCATTAGAGCTAAGGGAGAGGGAGAAGTGAGAATAGCCTACTGGGTGGGAACAGAGTGTAGATGGTGGCTCCTTAGACAGAAGGGAGTAGTCTGAGCAGGGAGGAGATGGTGAGTTTGGTCTGGAACATGGTGAAGCAAAGGTGCCAGAGACCCATACAGGTAGCACTTGCTCAGGTATGGGGACGTGGATGTGGGGATTGTTGTCCTCTGATAGTGGCAGCATTCAGGGAGGAAAAGCATGAAGTGAGCAAGAGGACCAGGGATCCAACAGTCAAGACCATGCTAAGGACAAAACGCCCAGGAGCTGGAGGAGCACCAGCAGCTGGCAGAAGCAAAGCCAGCGGGTATGATGAGCTGAGAGTCAAGGCAGATGAAAGTGTGGGAACAGGCCATTGGTGACCCCAGCAGCCTATATGGAGAAGTGGGCAATAGCCAGAAGAAGATGGATCTTCGCTGGAAAAGGTTGGCTCTGAAGGTGGAGTGGAACTTGGATTGGTGGAGGAGGGTTCTGTGCACCTCGGCCTCTGCTTGGGAGGTGGCCATTTCATTGAAATCACCTGCCTCTTCTTGAGGCCCCTCCCAGACCATAGCCCCTCGAGGTTATTCATCTCTGACATCTGCACACCCAGCACATTTCTGGCACATAGTGGGTACTCGCTGACAGCCAAGCAAGCCATCCATAGAGAGATGCCACCCATACCTGCTCTCCTTGCTACCCCAGGCACTGCCTACACTGTCCTAAGCAAACTAGTGTATGGGGGCAAAACTAAAGAGAAACCGCTGCTGTTCAGGACCCACTGGATGAGAGTGACTGTTCTGGTTAACCCCAGACACCAGCCTTGCTCTCACACCACCTACCCCTCCTCTTCCCATGAGGAAAGCTTCCTTTATCCCCTCTGTTGAATTTCTTCCCAGTAACATCAGAGTTCACATTGGCTGCCTTATGGAACCTAAAGCACTCGCTGAAATCCCTGCCTGTGATGATGTTTTTACCCCCATAGAAGAAGGAAAGGCTGGAGACCTGGGTCCCTAAAGTTGGAACCGCAAAGCACTAGCCCACTCTCCCTGCCTGACAAACTCACAGAGAAGCAACTTGGCCAGGAAGATTTAAATCTTTTGCCACAGAGAAATGTACTGAATTACTGTGAAATCTTTTTTTTTTTTTGAAAAAAAAATTTGTAGTAACTTTTATCAGGCACAAAAATAGAATCACAAAATGAGCTCCTGTGTAACCACCATGCAGCATCAGCCATGGCCAGCATTGGCCTTCTTATGCTACCTCTGTTGTATAAAACATGAGACTGACTTTACAGATCTCTATGTAGTACAGTCGTGTTAACTGTGGGCACCATGTCCTACAGCACATCTCTAGAGCTTATGGCTCTTGCTTCACTTAAACTTTAAGCTCCAAGATAAGAAACTCCCTGTTTCCCAATTCCCTTGTCTCCAGCAACCACCACTGTGCTCTGCTTCTGTGAGTTTGTTTTAGATACCATAAGCAGGTTGGCCTTCTGACTATTCACTTAGCCTTATGTCTTCAAGGTTCATCCATATTTTGCCATATTACAGAATTTCCTTCCTTAAAGCTAAACAGTGTTCCATTATATGCATAGGTGAGATTCATCCTCTGGTTCACATTTAGGTTACTCTCACTTCTGGCTGTTTGGGAAATGCTGCTCTGGAGAGTGAGAGTGCTAATATCTTGATGAGATCCTGATTTCAATTCTTTTGAGTAAATACTCAGAAGAGGGATAGGGAGATCTTAAGGCAGTTCTATTTTTTAATTTGGGGGGACATCTATAGCAGCTGTACCATTCTGTATTCACCAACAGTGTTCAAGAATTCCAATTTCTAGAAGAGCGCCTGCCTAGCAAGCATGAGGCCCTGAGTTCAAACCCCAGTACTGCCAAAAAGAAAAAAAGAATTCCAATTTCTCCACATCTTTTTTCATTTATTATTATTATCATTAGGTAATGGCCCTCCTGACAGGTGTGAGATGATATCTCACTGTGGTTTTGACTTGCACTTTTATGCAACTTAGTGACTTTGAGCTTCTTATATACCTGTTGGCCATTTGTATGTCTGGAGAAATGTTTGTTCAGATCCTTCTATCTTTTCATCAGGTTGGTGATTTTTTTTTTGCTATCGCTGGTATGGCTGTTATTACCAAAATGGTCTCGATATCCTGAAGCAGCAACTAACTTCTAATGAGTGCTCACTAAAAAAATAAATAATAAATTCCCTCGGAAAAATGTCCCCAGTTGTCAGCCATCAAGTGGCCAGGGATGGGGACAGTGCATCCTGGATGCTGAGATGTTGGCAGCAGACCTCTGCTTCCTATGCCTCTGTCCTCTCTTGCCCACCCGCCTTCCCCCACTGTGTCTCAGGAATCAAAGCAAGGTGCACAGGCATCACACCTTCCTCACAAGCCCCAGCACAGCCACAGGACACCCTGTGGGTTCAGAAGTTTGCCTGAGATCCCTCTGCCCTGTGGGTGCGAAGAAGCGGCAGAGGGTTGGATAGGGTTGGAGACCAGAAAATCGGTTTTTCTGTGCTGCAGTTGGCTGGGGCTCTGCAGTCTCTGATACATTTTCACGGCTGGTATCCCAGTTTTTCCCCATTAGCAATTCTGGGAGCAAGGCAGGACTATACCTGCTCATTCTCCCCATAGACAAAAGTTAAGTAGTGTGGAAGGTAAGGCCATGACCCTGATCCTTAGAATCACACTGACCCAGGTCTGCCACTCCTGGGCCCTAGGGCTGGGAACTTAACAACTGTAGTGCCCACTTGAAAAGGTGGTGGCAGGGATTAAATGAGATCGTGTGTGTAGAGTGCTTGGTTGAGCTTCTGGAGCACTACCATCAACACAGGGCAGTTGTTAGCACTGATACAGAAGTAAGAACTGTTAACAGAGCTGTGGTGGATCAGACTTAAATGCAATGCCCCCGAAACATGTTGCTTGCTGAAACATATGACGGGCTTGCTGAAAGATGGCCTGTGGTCTCTGTTCAATTAGAGATGCAGACATAAATAATGAGTCTTATCCAGGGTGATGGGGGTACACGCCTGTATCTTCCTTCATTCTTTCAGATTTACTGAGTGCCTGCTGTGTGTCAGATCTTGTTGAGTGTGAAATGAAGCAGGCCCTGTTTGAGTGCCCTAGAGCTTACATCCAAGTCAGGGGAGAAGATAAGCCATGTATAAGTGAATAGTGAAGTGATTCCAGGTCCTGATAAGTGCTGGAGATAAAACAGGTCCACCTGACAGAGTTTGGGTACGAGGGCAGGGTAGTGGCTAGCGTGATCAGGAGAGGTCTCTTAGGACATGACATTTGAGCTGAGAACCAAATGATGAAAAGATCTGGGGTCCAGGCAAGAGCAAAGGCCCTGAGAAGGCATGAATCAAGATTTCCAGTGGGGAAGAAAGAAAGCCCCGCATGTATGCCTGTAGCATGATGAGTGGGGCAGAGACTCCCACAAACCAAAGCTGCCATAGGAGCTTACATCCTGTTATGAAGCTGAGATTTTGTTTTCTGTATTTAAGGGCACAGTTTGGGGATGTGGTACCTCTGGGTATCTGCTTAGCTGACTTTGTCCTGTCTGAGGCAACTTGTCTATAGAGTTGGCATCTAGGAAGTTTGAAACAGACTGTTTTTTGATTTGGGGGGATTTTTTTGGGGGTGGGGAATGAACTCAGCGTATTGAGCTTGCTAGACAGGCACGCTACCACTTGAGCCACACCTCCATCCCTTTTTGCTTTAGGTTATTTTTCAGAGAGGGTCTCACTGTTTGCTAGGGGCTGGCCACAGACTATGATTCTCCTACCTATGCCTCCCTCATAGGTGGGATTGCAGGTGTGAGCCACTGCACCTGACTTTAGGCTGTATGTTTAGGTCCAAGTTCTCCATTCTGCCTCAGCATCAGATTTCCAGGGGTGCTTCTTAAACTCTGCCTCCGGATCTCCAAGGGTGGCTTCCTGGGCCATATGGCTGAGGTGCAGCCTATAGAGCTGCTGATTCAGGCAGCTGCCCTTTTTCTTGTCCCCAGCACCCCAGCCTGCCTCAGGGTGACCTGAGCATCTGTTCACCTTGGCATATACTTTTTCAGGTGGTGTTGATTAACGCTATCAAAGATGTGGCCAAGGCTCTTTCTGATCTCATTGGTGCTACCAAGGGAGCTGCCAGCAAGCCAGCCGACGACCCCTCCATGTACCAGCTCAAAGGGGCTGCCAAGGTAGAGTGGAGCTCCAGTGAGGGGTGAGCATGCAGGGCTGTGCCGGGTGGAGCTCCATTCTCAGATGAAGAAGAGACGGATGTCTTTGCATATGGCATCAGTCTGGAGCTAAAAGGAGTAAGGGCAGGACCTCAGACGTGTACTCTCTGCTTGCTCTCTTCCTATGCAGGTGATGGTGACCAATGTCACCTCCCTCCTCAAGACTGTGAAGGCAGTGGAGGATGAGGCCACCCGGGGCACCAGGGCACTTGAGGCTACCATCGAGTACATAAAGCAGGAGCTCACGGTGAGGAGCTACCAGTCGTCTCCCTTGGCACCAGCGTCTAACAGCTGACCGCAGCATGGGCTTCTTGGAGATTTTTAATCTAAAGAACTCCTTTACTAGAGAGGCCCACTCACCTGCCTTCTGATGGCATTTGTGATTCCCTACCCTGTGTGGCACTCAGGTTGGCTAGCATTTATTGGTAATTGTAATTAGGGAATTGATTGATACGTCTCACTTAGCATGACTCAAGTTGAATTCCATTAGAACTACAGTTTGAAACAATTCCAGAAGATTCCTGGCCAAGGGAAAGTCAGGATGGCTAGTTCCACATGCCTTGAGTGTACGTTGTGGGTACCAGGTGCAGCCTCTCTTCATTCACATTGCTATTGGCAACAGCTCACACCACCGTGCACACGTAGAATGGAAGTCTGAGGTTTGCTATTAGTGCCTCTCGGTGAGATACTTCTCTTTCCAATTCCCCTCTGTTTGAGGCATTCAACCTTAGAGATGCCAGCCCTGGCTCTCTCTTACCTTGTTCCAGACCTGTAGAGGGAGGACACCTGGAGCTGTTGTGCTGCCATAGGGATGTTTTGTACTTCCTGTGGCTTTGTGAAAACTGTGACTCCCCTCATCCTAATCCCTACAAATAGGAATTTGCAGGAAATGAGTGATTTCACAAAGATTCCTTTGAACTAGGTCTGGTCACAAATGCAATTTCTTTAAGGAGTGATGAGAGGAGTTGGGGAATCTGCCTCTGCTGCTGGTTATTCTGCACCTTTAGAGGGTCACCTGTGGAGGTGACCTGAGGGTCAGTACTAGAAATGAGCAATTCCACTGGGGGTTGGTGACAGGCATGGGTTCTTTGTCCTGACTTTACGAATCCAGCCTTGGTTGACATACTTAGTTCAATTTTTTTTTTTTTTGTACTACTGGGGTTTGAACTCAGGGCCTCACACTTGCTAGGCATGTGCTCTACCACTTGAGCTATACCCCCAACTTTTTTTGCTTTAGTTGTTTTTCAGGTAGGGACTTGTGTTTTTGCCCTCGGCTAGCCTTATACCATGATCCTCCTACCCACAGCCTCTCTTGCAGCTGGGACCACAGACATGTGCCACCATGCCCACCTTAAGCCCTGTTGCCTGGCAGTGATCTGGCTGCACAGGCTGGTCATTTCCCACCTAAAATCTGGCCACAGGTTCAGACAGATGTGGATGGGCCTCATGGTGGCAATGGAAGGGGAGATTTGAAACTAGGAGCTCTCCTTGGAAGTCATAGACCCTTGGTCATTCTGAGTAAACACTTCAGATTGTGTTTCTGAGGTGCATGTGCCATGAGGACCACAGTAGTGTAGAAGAAGGTACACCTGGGCTTTATTCCACCACAATATTCAAGAATGGATGTGGAATTTGTGGTCCTGGACTGATTAATTGCAACTGTCTGTTTTTAGGAGATAGCGATGTTGAGCACTGGTTGGCACATGGCAGGAATGCTGTGTGGGTTCCCTTTCTGCCTCAGGGAAATGTTTCATGGTGAAAGGTGGTTGTTTAGGGCTGGAGATAGGCCAGCCCCACCTAGGACCAGGGGTCTTCCTACGTAGGGACAGATGCATATGGTACACAGCCACAGCACCCATCACTTATGGTAAAGACACAGACCAGTGGGTGTGAAACAGAAACAGCTTGCATTGACTGACAGGTAAAATTTACAGGTGGGATTTTGACTTACCCTGGTTCATTTGTTGCAGTTTCTCCAAAGGTGTGTATGTGTGTTTAAATAATTCAGTGTCACCACGGCACATTTGACTTGAACACCTCTGCACAATTATGCAGCTATATTTTTAAGACAGGCTAAGAATAGTGGGATCTGATGCCTCATTTCCCCCAACCTCACACCTGTTTAAAGAGAGAGCAGGGAGAGCAGGTCAGTCCTACCCTGGATCAGACATTGGGACTGAGTTTCTGGATGATGCTGCTGAAACACCAACAGAGATGGAGGAAGAGAAGTAGGACGCCAAGAAGGACAGTGTACAAATACTGGATGTTGAAAGGTTGACACTGTTTGAAATGTCTCTCTCAGCATGTTGTTTCTGTGAATCCTGCACGTCCAATGTGAAAGGATTTTCCATGCTAAAAATCTCTAAAGCAAGAACAGCATTACTGTACTCTGTCATTTGACTGTTTCTTCCAATTGCTGGCTTGATTTTCAAATACTGAGCTATAGCGTGGTTGGAGAAGAATAGATTATTTTGGTCCTTTCCTACTTGATTTTTTTATAACCACCTCCATTTCTGATTTCCAGGTGTTCCAGTCAAAAGAGGTACCTGAAAAGACATCATCACCTGAAGAATCAATAAGGATGACGAAAGGTATCACCATGGCAACAGCCAAAGCTGTGGCAGCTGGAAACTCGTGTAGACAGGAGGATGTGATTGCGACCGCCAATCTGAGCCGGAAGGCTGTAGCCGATATGTTGACAGCTTGCAAGGTAAAGGCCTTAGCATTGTTTCTGATGGATGGACAGACAGTTCTCTATTATGGTTGAGTTGGTTGGTGTCATCTAGAGGCTGCAGTGTGTAGCTGGGGCACCACATATCTTAACCTTCACAATAAACATGCATGCAGAAAACCGTGTGTGCATCAGCATGGGGAAATGACTGTCTGGAGTAGCTCTGTGTTTGAGGGGAGACCCTCGAGGCCTGCTCCTCCCACTTCCCAGTTCTTCCTGGATAGGCAGGGAGCCCTCTGCTGAGTAAAAGGGATGGCAGTACTTGGCTCCAGGTGCTACAAATGAATGTGTCCCCCCTTCCCTGGACACTTTCTTGCCTCCATGAGCCAGGCATTTTTGTGCTAGAAGATGTGTTACTGTCACTGGGTAAGAAAGCAAGTTAGAGGAATACAAGAGAACTTAGAAAACCAAAACCACTTTTTCTCCCTGTGCCAGACATCTTAAAGAACTCTTGGAATCCCTGGGTCACTACAGCAGTTGCTCTGAGCTTGTGCTTGGTGAAGGAGAAGTGGAGACCTGAGCCCTATGGCCTTTATTTTAATTTTTGGCCATTAAGAAATTGAACAGAGCCAGATACAGTAGCTCACGCCTGTAATCCTAGCTACTCAGGAGGCTGAGATCAGGAGAATTGTGGTTCAAGGTCAGCCCAGGCAAAAAATTTGCAAGACCTCATCTCAACCAGCCACACACTTGTCATCCCAGCTAAATAGGAGGATCGAAGTCCAGGCCAGCCCAGGAATAAATGTGAGACACTATTTAAAAAGTACCTAAAGCAAAAAGTGCTGGGGCATGGCTCAAGTGGTGGAGCACCTGCTAGCAAGCACAAGGTCAGTACTGCCAAAACAAACGAAGGAAGGAAGAAATTGAACTCACATTGCCCTACATACCCTGAGAACCAGCCTTCTCAGAAGCAGCCTCGTCACGAGGTTCTGGCTTCCATTCAGCATTGGATTGATGATGCCACCACCATGGTCATGGGGAGGGAAAATGACCACTGAAATTGAAAACCAGCTTTTAGAGCTTGGGGCCTGAGGGTGGAGACATTCTTCATGATGAAGCGTTCTGTTAGCATTGGTTCTGCCAACTCTGATGGCTTCTTGGGGACTCCTGGGTATGGTGGAGGGCAGAGAGTGAGGATGGGTTGGAAAGACAAGAGGAAACCAATAGGAAGAGCTGTTTTCATGAAGGAGTACAGTGCTCTGCCAGGAAGTTTAGCCTCTCTTCTGGGGCAGCAGATATTTGCCATTTCAATGTTTTCAATGGAATCCACCATCAGAAGTGATAACTTCCAGAGGGGCTCCAGCCTCAATCAAAGAGTCAGATATACCTGGAAAGATGTGGCCCAAAGGCATCATGGACCCCACATACAGCACCTCAGAGTTTTGGAAGGGCTGTCATATTATTCTGTCATTTGAGCCTAAGAAGGGTAAGAAAATAATTACTCTGGGGCTAAGAGAGATTAAGTGGCCTGGCCAAGATCACATAGAATGAAAATGGCATTCTGATTTCATGGCCTCCCAACCATGACGTTCAAGGTTGCTGTGGCTGATAATTGATTAAAAGGCGCTTTTGTCCCCATGTTACTGACATGAAATAAGAAACACACAGAAGGCCATGATTAAGGCAGAAATGGAAGACTGCTCAGATTTAAAAGTCTGTCTTACATGGGTCCCCTGTTTTCAGGGGAGGATAGTTTTCTAAGTAGATAGGAAAGTATCTATTTTTCTAGTGTCTGCCTAGTCCTGGATACCCCTGGATCAGACCATCATAGGTTTACAGGATAAAGTCACAGCCAGAGCTCTGAAACCTGTAGTCTGCTTCCACACACCAAAGTCAGACCTAACCATAAATGTTGCTACTGAGTCCTGAGACCCCCCCCCCCGGCACCAGTTAGGTCAGGACTTACCTAACAAACTTAATTCCTTTGATCTGCTGTGTTCCTTACCCCTTTGCTAAAGGAAATGGGAGGAGGTTACCAAAAAGGGACTGTGAGCTATATGGCATACTCAGCAACCAGGCTGCTGAGTGATGGAGCAAGAATAAAGTCCTATTCACTGCACAGAAGAGTCAAGTTGCACTACAAGAGCACAGGCTTTGGGGGAGCTGAGTAGAGGAGGCAGGGCAAAGGTAGAGGTACAGCAAGCACCATGCTGGCGCATCTGTCAGAACAGGAAGTTACACTAATGCCTCAGGCCTACCCAATCCCAAAGAGAATACTCATGTGTGTTTCTATCTGGTCTTGCTTTCATGTGCATACATTTGTGTTAGATACAATTTGATATCTTTAATTATAATTGGTGTGACATGGCTGTCTGTTACTGTGAGTCATCATTACTGACTTGTGAATGACTACAGATACTCTGTTAGCAAATATTATCTTTCCCCTATTATTGGAAATTTAGGTTGACGGCATTCATTTTATCATGAACTTTATTGTAATAAACATATCTGGTTTTCCTGGGCTTTGGATTATTTCCTTAGGCAAGACTCCCAGAAGTGGAATTAATGGATCAAATTCTGTGACATTTTAATTATTGCCAGATTGTTCTCCCAAAAGTTTCTGCCAAGTTACAGAGCCACCACCATGGACAAGAACATCTCACTCTCACCTCTCCCACAACCCTAAACGAGTGCCTTCACATAACCTGCTGGAGGTGACACTGAGTACTACAATGGCCTGGGTCTTCCCATGGTAGCGTTTCCTCAAACAGGCATGGGCTCTGTGCTTCCCAGTGAGGGACACAGAGATGAAGAAAATGTGGAAGTGTTAAGAACAGAGCTCTGTGACTGGAGGTGTGGCACAAAGCCCTAAATTCAAACCTCAGTCCTACCAAAAAAGAACATGCCTCTCAACTCCTGATTTCTGCCTCTGACACTTGTTAGTCCTCAGATGAGTCAAACCTGGCTCATAAATGACAGGTGATGGCCACTGCTTGGTGGGGTGGGGTGGGGTGGGGGGATGAGGAAGCAGAGCAGAGGTGAGCACACAGTGTTTCCACTTGGACCCCATGTCCCTAGGTTGAAGAGCTTGAGTGGAAAACCATGGAGGCTGGTCCATATTCCCCTTCAGCCTTGACCCTTTATCCTGTGTGATTTGTATTTGTCTTGATTGGTGGCTTCTGTTAAGCACCACACTCCAAATTCTCTCCAGAGTGAAGCTGTGGACGGGAGAATGTCTTAAGAAGGCAGGATTGCTAGTTTTAGCAAGTAAAAGATAACGTGTCAAATACTCGTGCTCAAAAGTTTTTCATTGTTTATCTGATATTCAGCTTTAACTGGCTGTGTTTTATCTGATAGCCTAAGAGTCAGAATGCCATCTTTGAAGACTTACAGTGAATGACTCAAGGTGGCAGGTCACAAATGCAAGGAAACAGTGAGACACTGTGCTAACCGTATGCCCTGGTTTGCTTATCTCTATATTTGTACAATGTGGGATGCGTTATCTACAGTGCCTGAGTGCACTGGGGAGCCCTGTCTGAAGTTTCCCAGCCCAGGGGCCTGGACACAGAGACCTCACTAGAACTGCTGTGTGGTTGGCCAGGTCAAGGGATGAGAAGATGGATTAATTAGCCTGGGGACAGAAAGGGGCCTTCGGGGTGCCTCAAGCTACTGAGGAAAAGCTAGGTAGAGTCTGGTCAGTACTCTTCTGTTGGAAGCCCTACTTGTAAATCTTTTCCTGGATGTTTTAGTGAATGTGGAATTTTTTTACATTAAAAGGGAGTACAGAAAGAGGGACTGGACTCCATGTTTCTGTCATCTGGCCCCAGAGCACTAACAAAGTCAGCCTGAAGACTTGTCAGAAAATCTGCTGTGGGGGAGTGGGGAGAGTGGGGCAGGGGCTTCTCTGTAGGGAGTTCAGGGAGGTTTCTCAGAGATCAAGAACAACGTCTCTGCCTCAGGGTCAAAGGCTGCCCAGCACTGCTGGGCCAGTGACTGATGAGCAGCTCTTCCTGCTTTAAGATGTCCACATACCTTTCTTTCTCCAGCAAGCATCCTTCCACTCTGATGTCAGCGAGGAGGTGCGAACCAGAGCCTTGCGGTATGGGACGGAATGCACCCTGGGCTACCTGGACCTTCTGGAGCATGTATTGGTGGTGAGGAGGGGCATGGGTCTGGGAGGGGGTAAAGGAGAGCTGTGTATCACAGTCAGCTGCCTTGGCTGATCTGGATGTAGACCTTGTTTCCCCAGCAGCGCCCCTCTTAGAGCATCATGCAGATGTCTTTCATCAGTCTGGGCCTTGACTGAGTGAACAAATCTAATCTTGCATGCTGAGCTGAAAGTACAGTCTGCAGAAGGTGCAGTTGGAATCCAGGAGAACTGGGCTCTCCCTGGGGTACCAAAGAGGAAGGACTAGAATGGAAGAAGAGGAAGAGGAGTGGACAGAAGGAGGCATAAAACACTGGAGAGTCAGGGCCATCCCTGAAAAGTTCAGGTCTCGTTAGAGAACCCAGTGCATCCTACAAGACAAGGAACACCAGCCTCCATGATGGGCTAGGGTGGCTTGCTAGCCTCTCATGACTTCCTCCCTCCTTGAATGAATGGCTTAAATCACATCAAGAGTGACTCCCCAGCCTGCTGTGCCCATATAGAGCTGGGTTCAGAAGGCAAACAGAAGATACTGGGCAGGGGGTAACCAGTGGCTGTGGTTGGTGAGCTGCCCATATGGGAGCCTCAGTTTGTGCAGACTTTAGTTGCTAGAGTGACCTGGTTCCCTGCAGACCCCCCCTAGCCATGGGGGCTAGGAAGTAGGTGCAGTGTGCATCTGGTGCTGTTGAGTCCTGAGAGCCATTCAAGGTCTGGGTCAAGCCTGAGAGAGTTTGTTCAGGAGCCAGAGGCATCCCCAAAAGAGAACTAATGATGTCCCCCTCCCATCACTACCCTATTCTTCCTAAACCTAAAAAGAGAGCCAGCTGTTTACCTTCAAATACACAACTCATGCACCAAGAGGAAGACGCCAACCCTTTCATTTGCAGAGCATTCTGTTTTTGTCATTTTGCCCTGTTCACCCACACAAGCTAGCAGAATGATTAGAGACCCACAGAAGTTTGTTCCTTGGTTGAAGTCACCCCACTATTCAGCAATAGACCTAGGACCAAATCCCAATTCTTGTTATTCCCAGCTCTGTGTTCTGATGTTAGCCATCGTAGGTCTTTTAAGGGATCATTATATTCATCTGGGTGACTGCAGTCAATGCTTAAGGGGGTTTTTGTTTGTTTGTTGTTGGAGTCTTTTAAGGAGTGTGGCAGAGGATTATGAACACTGAGCTTCTAAAGTCTGAGCCCTATAAATAGAAGTCAGTGTAAACTACATGGGCCAAGGTGAGACCATCTTAAGCCAATCATCATTCATAGTCCAAGATCCTGTGTGGCCAAACTAGACTGTGTCAGGATATAGTGAGAGGGTTCAACACACAAGCATGCCTCCGAGGAAATTTGGGATAAAAAGAATAAAGTCTGCAAGGCTTCTGAAAGGCCTCTTTCCCTGAGGTTTATGTTCTAAGACATTCTACAGACTGTACTGAGCTCTGTACATGCCACACATGTCCCTATACATATTTACCTGTGATCATTTAAGTTAGACACAGCAGGAGACTAACAGTAGTTAGCAAAGCATTGAACAATCATATGTAATAAAAGACATGGAAAGTCTGGGGTGATGGCGCACATCTATACGCCAGCACTCAGGAGGCTAAGGCCAGAGGCTCACGAGTTTGAGGCCAGCCTGCCCTACATAGCAAGACCCAGTCTCCAAAGAAAAATATGTAAAGTTTATGAATCTTCATTTCTAGAATTTTCTATTTAAAACTTTCAGACCATGGAAAGCAAAACTGGAGAAGGGGAAACACTGCAAGCGTCCTGAGTCACGGAGAACCTGGTTGTAACTGAGGTGGGCAGCATACAGAAGTAGCAGGTTTAGGAGGCCTAGGTTTTGAAGCCTTGAGCTCAGATCCTGGCTCTGCCATATCAGAGGTCACATGCTGCTGTCATATCTGGCATTCGGTTTCCTCTGCACTTAAGAAAGGCAGTATGAAGACAGTATATTCAGGATTAAATTATCTTGTCTAGAAACGCAGGGCCGCATGGCTGAGCAATTGTCCTGTGTTTCCCTGAGGTCTGCAGCCTAGAAGGTACTATGTTGGGCTGATGGGAGGGACTGGCCACAATGCCCTCTCTGCTTCCTAAACAAGGACTCACCCCTACATCCCCTTTCTCCTTCTTGTTTTCTCTTCATGCTCTTATCTTTGTCTTGCTTGTTTGGGGGGAGGGGGAAGAGATAGGACACTCTTCTTTGCATTTCTCCTCCAGTCCTGTGTCCTGGTGACCATGCTCTCCCCTCACCTGAGCCTGTGGCTGTGCAGCATGGATCACTTACAAGATGTCTGTGTCCAGGTCCTGCACACATGGCCCTCAGATTGGCAACTTTCACCCTTGCCCTTGGCGAGTCATGGCCAGTGATCAAGCCCTTTAGGATGGCCTGTGGAGTGAAGAAATCCTCTGTCACCCTCTACAAAGAGAAAGCTTACATTGGGGAGAGAAATTCTTGCTTCATAAGGAGGGACTGGTCCCAGTGCTGTGTTAAGTAGAAATTTCTCTCAGGAGATCAGGAAAGCGGCACCCCGACAGGGTTCCCTCCCCAACATCATGCTGACTTAAACCCTTCCTTACCTGGGAACCAGTGGCTGCATGTGCCAAAGTGCCTTCTCTCTCCATGCCCACCTTGTTGGGTGGGTGCCATGAGACAGGGGAGGCATATTTAGATGGTCAAAATGCATCTCTCCAAGGGTGGCAGCTGGCTGGCCTCTTTGCCTTAGGAATGGTGGAGGATGCCAGGGTGTTGGTCCAGGAACAATTCCCAGGCTACACATTCAGAGCTGCTGCCTAGGTACTATGTCATACATCAGCCTTAATGATAAACAGCAGGAAGGGCATCACCTATAATAGAGAAGACTTCATCTAGGAGGTGCTCATGGGGGCCATAATAATGAACAAAGGGGAAAGTCCAGGTGTGGTGGTGCACATCTATAATCCCAGCTACTCAGAAGGTGGAGGTAGGAGAATTACAACCCAAGGCCAGGCTAGAAAAAGGGCAAGACCCTATCTGAAAAACAAACTAAAAGCAAAAAAGGGCTGGAGGGGTGACTCAAGTAGTACAGTGCTTGCCTAGCAAGTGTGAGACCCAGAGTTCAACACACCCCCATTGCTACCCCCCACTATTAGAAAATCCTGTTGACTCAATGGCTGAGTGAAAAATAGAATAACTCTCTTACTGCCTTGTCCAAAGCTGAGGTACTTCAGCTTAAAGATGCTGAGTGGCTGCTTGCCATTGAGGGCCAGCTGTCCCAGGAAGGAAGCCATGCTTCTGTCTACCTCAAGGGCTCTCCTTCTAGAGGCAGGAGTCTTTAATCACTCTACTTCGCCAATCTAAGTGCTTCCCCCTACCACACCTGTAACTTTCTTCCACCTGTAAAAAGGCATGATGAATGCACAGTAACAACACTTAAAGTGTACAGTTTGAGTACTGACAAGAATACATATGTACGTCTATAGAAGCATCACTGCAATCAAAATAATGAATGTACTTATCAGATCTGTAATGTGCTTTTTATTATCGATTTGTTTGCATTTTCTAGACTTTTCTCTAAATGGAATCCTATGGTGTCTACTCCTTTTTGTCTGACTCCTTTCACTCAGCATCAGTATTTCAGTCACCCATGTTGTGATATATGTCAATAATTTGTTCCTTTTAATGCTAAGTCGTGTCTCATTGCATGGCTGTGGCATAGGGTATTTAGCCACTCACCCCTTGAAGGACATCTGGGCTGTTTGGGGAGTTTTAATTATTACAAATAAAGCTTTGAAGAATATTCATACATGAGTCTTGTTGCTAGTATGTGCTCATTTCTCCTGGGTAAGTACCCAGAATTGGAACATTTGTATCATGAAAGGCAGGGGTGCATGTCACTCTTTAAAAACTGGCCAAGCTCCTTTCCATAGTGGGACATTTCCATTAGAATGCATGTGAGTTCCTTCTCCTTCACATCCTGGGTACCATTTTGGAGTCATTTTGCTAGTGTTAGCTGTTCTAGTGAGTGTGTGGCAGTATCTCATGTGATTTTAATTGGACTGTCACTGTTGAGTATCTTTTTTAGGTACCTGTTTGCCTTCTGTAGACCTTCTTTGCTTACATGTGTGTTGAGATCTTCTCCCTGTTTAGGATTTTAATGTCTTATCATAGAACTTTTAGAATTCTGTGATTTTTATACATACGTATATATGTGCATATATACACATACATGTATATACTTTTTTTTGCAGTATTGAGGTTTGAACTCTGGGCCTCACATTTGCTAAACAGGTGCTATACCACTTGAGCCACTCCACCAGCCCTTTTTGCTTTGGTTATTTTTGAGATAGGGTCTTGCTTTTTTGCCAGCCAGCCTGGACTGTAGTCCTCCTATTTATGTTTCCCACCATAACTGAAATGATAATCACATACTACCACTCCCAGCTTTTTTGTCAAGATGGAGTTTCACAAACTTTTTGCCCAGACTGGCCTCTAACCACAGTCCTCCTGATCTCAGTCACCCGAGTAGCTAGGATTGCAGGCATGAGCCACCACACCTGGCTGACACACATTCTTTGTCAGATACATGTTCTACAAACCCTTTCTCCCAAGGGGTGGTTGGTTTATTTTTTTCATAATAATATCTTGCCAGAGCAAGGGAGACACTCTAAAAAAAAAAAGAAAGAAAAAGAGAATGATAGCACTACAAAGTTGAGGGAGAAGTATGCAGATAGAACTTGGATAAAAATGAAAGTAAAATCAAAGTACATCTTTTATACCTCAGCTATTAAGCCTTTAGGATGAACTGATGTTAAACGTTAAGGATGCCTAAATGTTTCTGCTTGCACAAGTCACCAAATTACTTTTAGGATTATAGTTCACTGTTAGTCTCACTTTGTAATCCGTGTTGATTCTCTGCTTTTATTAAATAGTCCTATTGCTCTGGGTTTAGTTCCCAGCAAACCCCACTCCACCCAAAATTAAACAGCCCTATTAAGATATCATTTATATACAATACAAAATTTATCCACTTAAAGTGTACAATCCATCAGTTTTCAATATACTTAAACTTGTAGGACTGTTCCCATAATTTGAGTTTGAATACTTTGATCTCCCATAAATGAAGCCCATTAACAGTCGTGTCCTATTTTCTCCCCCTCCACTCCTGGCCCTAGGCAAACTAAACCACTTTCTGCCTCTGGTGAATTGCCTTTTCATATAAGTGGAAATATGTTGTTATTTGTGACTGTCTTCTTTCGTTTAGCATAATGGTTCCTAAATCCATCCATGTCGTAGAAGGTATTAGTTCCTCATTTCTCTTTATGACTGAATAGCATTCCATTGTAAGGAATGTGTCCTTTGAAAATTGACGTCTTTAATTTTAATGAAGTCTGGTTTATTGATTTTTTTTCTTATATAATTTGTGCTTTCAGTCATCTGTTTAGAATCTTTACCAAAGCGATTATTTTCCTGTGTTTTTGTCTATGTAGTTTTAATTCTCATAGTTACATTTATAATACATTTCTAGTTGACTTATGGTATGGGGAAAGGGGGACGGTTCATTTTTTTTTTTTACATATGACTATCCATTTGTTCCAGCCCTGGAGGTTCTAGTACCTTTTTTAATGCCATTTAAAAAAAAAGCAACAAATAATCTTACAAACTTTTGAACTATGCCAAAAGAGAGCACATACACACTACTTGTGCAAGGAGAGCTTGCAGTCAAACCCTGGGAAAGGGTTGTTTGTCCTGGAACAACGTTCCTGAACAGTTCTGTCTCCAGGATGCCCCAAGTCACACATTGCCTGTGGTTCACTTCTGCTTTGTTTCAAGTAGCAGCCGGTCCTTGGCCTGTGGCTCTTACGTTTCCTCAGGTGATCTTACACTTTGGGTAATTTTCACATGTGTGTATTTGTTATATATACAAATAAAAATACAAGTGAGGGACAAATAAGGACTTTGTCTCTTTTTGGGAACTGTCAGAAGTAACCCTAGAGGCATACCTGGTTCCCAGCTTCTCCATTGTCTTGGAAGCTTAGGGAGTCAGAAGTATTTTCCCCACGATCCTGAGTGAAGTCACTCAGAGACAGAGGTGCCTGACTGCATGTCCAGCAGAAGGAGCGTGCCTCCCATTACAGTGGGTACCATCCTCATGCACCTGCTGTTCTCTACCCTTAGATCCTTCAGAAGCCAACCCCTGAACTAAAGCATCAGCTGGCTGCTTTCTCCAAGCGAGTGGCCGGCGCCGTCACCGAGCTCATCCAGGCAGCAGAAGCCATGAAAGGTGAGTCAGCTTCTCATGTGACCTTGCAGGGAGTCTTCAAGGTAGTAAGTACTACCTAGTACAATGAACTGAACAGAGGAAGAATACAGGTCCTTCGTTGGCAAATATAGCTAGGAGGACAGTGAGGTGCTTTTTTTTTTTCATTAATTTTTATTAGTATATATTCATTGTACAGGAGGGAGTCATTGTGTCAATTTCAAGTAGGCTTATATTGTACATTGGTTAGGTCACTTTCACCATCTCTGCCCCTCAACTCCTTCCCTGCTCCACTTAAAACTATTGCAAGAGGTTTCTTTGTTCTATTCCATATAAGTATATGAAGTCCATCAACCATATACCCTCACTTTAATCTCCTTCATTCCCCCTCCCCCCTCCCACAAGTACTCCCCCCATACATACCCTGTACCTGTTTTATAGTCCCGAATTTCATTTTTAATATCTAAGTTGATGTTCAAAGGGTTTTCTCAGTGTATCCCAGCTATGAGTATACTTTACTTTGGTCCATTCAAGCCCTTCTGTTACTACCCTTATATCCTTTACCTTCACAGATGTTGTGTTTTATGATATTACTGATGCTTTATTATTCTCTTTTTCTTTCCCTCCTTCCCTGAGTTCCATAGACTTGTTCCACTGTTACAAACATGTTCTACATAAGAGTTTGTATAAGGTCATGCTTGTTTTTGTGTATATTTTTATCTTTTGGATCTATCTTCCATGTATGAGAGAAAACATGTGGCCTTTGTCTTTCTAAAGTAAGTCTGGCTTACTTCACTTAACAGGATGTCCTCCAATTAGAGGACCTTTACCTTCAAATCACATGGTGTCAATATTCCTTATGGATGAGTAAAGCTCTATTGTGTGTATATACACATTTTCTTAATCAGTTGTAGGGCATCTGGGTTGTTTCCAAAGCTTGGCTATTGTGAATAATGCTGTGATGAACATCGGTGTACAAGTGTCTCTGTTGTATCCTGACTTATGTTCCTTTGGGAACCCAGGAGCAGTATCGCTGGATCATATGGTAGTTCTATCTCTGGCTTTTTGAGGAATCTCCATATTGCTTTTCATAATGGTTGTACTAATTTGTATTCCCACCAGCAGTGTATAAGCATTCCTGTTTCACTGCATCTTTTCCAGCATTTGTTGTTGTTTTTGCCCTTGAATATGGCCATTCTTAACTAGGGTGAGATGAAAGCTTAGGGTAGTTTTGATTTGCATCTCTTTTATAGCCAGGGAAGTTGAACACTTCTTTGTGTATTTTCTGGTCTTGTACAGTGAGGTGCTTTTTAAAAAAGCAAACAGGAGCCAGGTGCTGGTGGCTTACACCTGTATTCCTAGCTATTCAGGAGGCAGAGATCAGGAGGATCTTGGTTCAAAGCCAGCCCTGGCAAATAGTTCGTAAGACCCTATCTCAAAAATACTTAACACAAAAAGGGCTGGTGGAGTGGCTCAAGGTGTAGGCCCTGAGTTTGAGCCCCAGTACCCCAAAAAAAAAAAAAAGATAAAAAAGGCAAGTGGGCATTAAGTTAGATTTTAAAATTAAGAAGTAATCCCAGTTACACAGGAGGCAGAGGTAAGTGGATCACAGTCTGAGGCCAGCCTGGGCAAAAGCATGAGACCCTATCTGAAAAATACTAAAACAAAAAGGGCTGGAGGTATGGCTCAAGTGGTAAAGCACCTATCTAGTAAGCATGAATCCCTGAGTTCAAACCCACAGGACTAGCAAAAAAAGGTTTTTTGCCAGTGTCTATCTTAAGAGCTTCTACTTAATGGTATAATCCATCTGGCACTGCTCTTTTCTCTGAGTCTCACCATTTATTTTTACTCATCATAATATTCATTGTCACTCTAATAATAAACAGGGCTGAGTCTGTTGCTTGCACGCCCCTTCCTGCTTAGAAGCAGTCAGCTCACCAGAGAAAAGTTTTCTCATTAACTTCCCTTCCTTTGAATTGCTGTTTCTCATGTGTTCCCAGAAAAGAATGGCACATCTGTGTGGCCCAGAGTCTCCTGGGGTTGCCTTTCCACTGTGAGCTGTAATTTAGAAGGCAGAGTAAGACTTAAGCCTTGATCTGTCAGATCGGGGTTTTTGAAACTGCTGCTGATGGCTGCTGCTATAGGTAGGGCTAGGCACACAAGTGATTTTGAAAACTGAGTTGGCTGTCCCCTTCACCACTGCAGATGGCTCTTCTGAGAGCTAGAAATGAGGTCCCTCTGTACAATGCAGATTGTGCATGAATGTACATGCATGTGAAAATTGTGTTTGTAACTAAGCCAGTGCCTCATTTCTGCACCTACCAAGAATGACCTTTTTTTGGACTGATTTTAGGAACAGAGTGGGTTGATCCAGAAGACCCGACTGTCATTGCAGAAACCGAATTATTGGGAGCTGCGGCATCCATTGAGGCTGCTGCTAAGAAGTTAGAGCAGCTGAAGCCAAGAGCAAAACCAAAAGTGAGTGTTCATTTGTGGTTGCTTGCCTCATGGGGGTAGCTTTGAAGTAGAGTTAGGTGTTGTTGCAGGAAGCCTGTCTCCTTCCCTGGCTAACCTGGGAAGCAACAAGCCTGCTCTACCAGCCCAGCACCTTTTTACAGAGTATAGGAAAAAAACAGTGAGTGACTCTTTCAATTTAACCACCCAGAGAAAGTGTCCTCTGGGTATTCAGAGGAAGAATCTGAGCATTCCCAACCTTGATTTAATTCTATTATATAAAGCAGGTGGGAGATGCTTCCTGCCGGAAGTTCTGCTACAGGATGTGACATTTCAGCCTCTAGTTCACTGGTTTCTCTTATTCCTTGTATAGAGTAGTAGCAATGTTTGGTCTCTCATTTTCTTAAAATCAACAGAATGAAATGTGGACCTCAAAAGGGGACCCAATAACAGACAATTTCAGTATATACCACGGACTGACTGGCTGGTGTATTTTTTCCATCTGTTTGTTATCTAGATAAATGTTTAAAACATAGGATCATGAGTGTATGTTAAGAGAAATAACCATTCAAAGGAAAGAGATTCTTTTAGATTGGACAGTAGGAGAATATTCTCTAAATAAAAAGATGGTGAGCTAGTACCCAGGCCCAGCCTAGCCTTGGCAAGAAACTGTAACCTCTCACCTCTATGGGCCATCTTCAACAGGAAAATGGTGGAACCATAGGAGGTCTGTTTTTCTTCCTATTCAAGTAAACTCTTACTGGTACCTGTTACTTACCTCCCTTTCAAGAACCAAAATACATTAAGAAATGAAATATGGCTCTTTCCTTCAAAAAAGGTTGGATCAACCAGTTTAGTATGCCTAAAATTCTTGAGTGTGTGTGCATGTGTATGTGTGCGTGTGCATGTGTGTGTGTGTGTGTGTGTGTGTGTGTGTGTGTGTGTGTGTGTGTAAGACCAAAGGATGGAGTGCGAGCACTGAAATGTAGGGTCTGGGCTGATGTGTGTGAAATAGACACAGTGTATAATGAATCTGTTAAGACTGGGAACTTTCTTAGAACATTCTAGTTCTTAGTTCCAGTCTCCTAATCCTTGCTCTAGACTTAGTAAACACATTTAAAATTTCTGTCATCAAGATGTAAGTTGAGCAAATGTTTATTGACCTAATGAATCAATGACTCAGACTTCAATGTTGAAAGTTTAGGGAGTTGTGGAGTATAGAGGTCCTGAATGGTAACTCATGGGCCAAATTCAGTCCACAGTCTTGTCTTGCTTGATCTCCATATTGTTACACTTCTGTTTGTTCCAGTAAAAAGATAATAAAAAATAAGTTGAGACTTGTAACTTCTGATTTTGAGGTTCTGATATATCAGGGTTCCTGCTTCTGGCCCTCTAGCCTGAGGGTCTTGGGTTCTCTAATATTGTCAGTTTTTCTTACAAGTTTAAGAGCTAAGAGTAGGTGTAGGGATAACTCTGTTTTCTGCTTATATCTTTGTTCCTGCTTTATAAGTCAAGTTAATCATGAAAGGAAAGTATGCTTTAAACTTAATAATCAACAACTGAGTAAGATTTAGAGGTTTGATGCTTAATTTGTCTTTCCTTCTCCTTCCCCACTTTATCACAAGTGTCCTCTTCCCACAAGTGGGAAAGGCTCTGTGCCTTCTAGTGTCCAAAGTCATGTCAGTTGACACTTTAATTCTCCTGAGAATTAGCCTGGAAATCATTAATATTAACACTTCACTGTATTCTAAGAGCTCCCATTCCAGTTCCCTTGTCCTGCAGGGTCCTTCAGAGCTCTTGTCTGTCTCAGAATCCTGGTTTTCCTCTGTCCAGTTATTTATTTATTTCATGGTTCTTTAAGGGGATTAATTTACCCCATCCTTGCAGAGTCCACAAGGAATCAGGTACCAAGAGGTAAATCACCTTGCTAGGTCAGACCACCATAACCAAGCTAGGAGGATTAAGGTGGGATCTGAAAGGCAGTTTCAGTCCCTGCCACTCCCTACTTACCCATATTGTCAGAGAGCTGGTCTAGCTTTGCATGTGCACTTTGAGTTGTCAATCCCACCTATGGGTACCTTTCCCAAAGAAGAAATCCAAGAGGAGAAGTTGTGTGCATGTGAGGGGCTGTTTCGTGCAGCCTTGTGGGTAGGTGGGTAAATGTGAGAGTCTCCCTGAGGAAGGCTATAAAGTTATTACAGCTATTAAGAGTAATGGTTGCTAGGACTGCATAGCATAAAAAAAAGGTGAAAAGGGGGAAAATTATAAAAATTTATGAGTCCATTATGACTAGGTTAAAAAAATACATATGAAGGAGGTGAGCAGAGAATGTATAAGAATGGTGATATAATGAGGATAATGACACAGACCTTGGTCTGTGTTTTAAAAATAACAACATTTTGGGCTGGAGGAGTAGCTCAAGTGGTAGAGCGCCCACCTAGCATGCTTGAGGTCCTGGATTCCATCCCTAGTACCACAAATAAAAGGAAAATAAAAATAACAGCATTTTAAAAATTAATGATGATTGCTAAACTGGGCCATTTGCTTTTTGTATTTATAGTGAGGGTTTTACGGGAGAGCTGAGAAATTCTTCCATGAAGGTCACAGTTAACATCACTGCTGACTTGGGCCCCTTATCTGAGTATGCTCCCATTTAGGTGACCCCATCTTCATATTAGGAAGAGTGCTTGGGGTTTCTAGAACACTTTAGAGTGGTTTGATGTCTTTCTTTGCCTGATGCCCAGAGTCTCCTTCCACCCAAAACCCAAAGGATAATTTTTGTGTCCGTCTAGGTGGGCCATCCATTTTATGAAGACTTCTGCTTGAAATAAAATATCCTCCTTGCCTTTATAAAGGAATTTTCCCTGGTTTAAAACCTGACATGGTATCTCAAGCATGTGATCCTACCTACTTGGGAGATGGGGATTGGAGGATCATGGTTCAAGGGCAGCCTGGGAAAAAAGTTCCCAAGACCCCCATCTCACCCAGTGGTGGAGCATGGTGGTGCACACCTGTCATCCCTACTATGCAGGGAAACATAAATAGGAGGATTGAAGTTCAGGCTGGCCCGGGCATAAAGTGAGACCCTATCTCAAAAACAACCAGCACAAAAAGTCTGGTGGAGCTCAAGTAGTAAGGCACCTGCCTAGCAAGCACAAGGCCCTGAGTGCAACCACCGGAGCCATCAAAAATACTACTAATAATAGCAATGATAATAATTTGACACCAAAACCAACTAGTATTTTGAGGTTAATCACTTTTCTCCATCCTGTCTCATAACCTTTTTAAAAAGTTCTCAGGGTACCACAAATAAGCAATTCCTATAAACTCTACGCACCCCCCCACACCACCTCACATGCATGTATACACACACATGCCATGAATATGTCTTCCTTTCATCACAGAGGAACATTTGTTCTGCTTTGAGGAATAGTTTGGGAGAGGGGTGATGATTTTGTTTAAACTGCTCTGCTCCCCACATCCTCAGTTTACCGTTTTAAATTGTCTATGGTTTATGAAGATGATTCTGGTATATGCCCACCTCCTTCCTCTAAAATGTAAGCAGCAGCTTTTGCCTGGAATCTCCCAGACATGAATGATGAACAAATATTGAATCCCCCACTCACTGTGGAAAACGGTGTCAGGGCAAAATAAGACTGACTGGAGCTTGGTGCCTGTGCTGACAATATTGTAATGGCGTCGTTTCCACACCTGCAGACACACCTGTGCTCCAAAGACAGGCTGGGAGTTGCTACAGTGGTGACCGCCCCTGCAGCTGTAACCTGCAATACTGTGTCTATTCTCAAGCTCAATCAAACCTGGATGCCTTTTCTGCAGGCCTCTGTGTGATATGTTTGATATATTAGGTTGTTATTTAATCCAACTATATATCAAACATATTCCTACAGTGTCTTGCCCTGTCTCCGGGTGTTCCTAACAAAGTTTATAAGGCAACAGGAAAGAATATGTTAAAATCACAAGTAGATTTAGAAGACAGTGCTCATTTTGTCATGTTTTATTTCATTTTTATAGCATTTGAGACCTGTATTAATATTACTAGATTTATTTGTTCATTAAAGAAACAAATTATAATATTGATATTTCTTAAGAGCTTGAGATATTTTGTATAGCTTAGTTGTATGCAGCAATGGATACTAAAGGAAAATGTTTAATGGGAAATAGAAGATTCTAACCCATGTCTCTGTGACATGGAATGCATCTAGACTTTTCATTTGGGTTCATTTCGAGCCTAATCTTCACTCCATAAGTTTGTGATTTGGAGACTGGGAATGTAGCTCAGTGATCAACCTCTTGCCTACCATGTGCAAGGCCCTGGGTTTGATCCCCAGCACCAACACACACAGTAATTTTTATAATCATTTGTAAGTTTCCTTTCCACTCATAGTAACAAAATATATAAACCAAATTGGGCACACCACCTATATGGATGCTAAGTCACTGGGCTTTATGCAAACCTCAGTTAGAACTAAATATTTCTAGTAAAGATAACATAATATGGGCAATACTCTGTATCCTCTGATGAATTTCCTGTTGTCAGTGAATTTGTTAGCAGAGGTTGATAATATTTAGAATAAGCCAACAATCAGAAAATGAGCCCACAGCCTTATTGGCTGTTGCAGAAAGTTTGGGATTGTAGTACAGAGAAGATTCTTTCTGGCACATAGTACTTGAAGTACTTAGTACTAGGCTCGATCCTGCTTAGCTTCTGAGATCAGACAAGATTGATGCATTCAGGGTGGTATGGCCATAGACCATAGCAACCTTCTTTGATTGACTTTGAACTCATCACTGTAGATGAGTTTGTGAAGTATGCATGAGTTCATTCTGAGTTCTCTCACCAAAGACTTTATGAGCTCTTTCTGAAAGGAGAACTGCTTTGCTCATTGTTCAAGATTTTTGAGGAGGAAAGTATTTTAATGACAGCTCCTGGGTATGCAGATGAGCAATTCCCCTGGGGGGTGAGCCAAGAATTTAACCAGGGCAGTCAGGAAAGCCACCCTGGC